CAACATGACCAACCATGACATTCTTTTGTCACCAAATACTGCCATGTGCGCCTATGCCTCCCTCCTGGCTTGTTATGGTGGTGGAGGATGATGGTAGGTGTGAGGGAGCGGTGGGGAGGTGGAGGGGTATGGGTGGATGTGGAGGGGTATGGGGGGATGTGGAGGGGTATGGTGGGATGTGGAGGGGTATGGGGGGGATGTGGAAGGGAAGGGGGATGTGGAAAGGGATGATGAAGGGGGGAAGGGAGCGCGAGGGGGTATGGTGTTATGTAATAGGGGGAGAGGGGGGTGGTTCAAAAAAGGGGTAGAGGAAGGGAATTTATAAAAGGGGGGGAAGAAATAGCCTAAGCTACGAATCTATATCCTTTTGGGAAGTATTTTATTATTTCTATAAACTTACTTATTATCTCCATAAACTTACCTATTGAACTTGTTCGAATTTAAAAGACGAGAGAATACACTATTTTTTTTTCATTCACGTGTAGAGCAAGTTTTAAATTTTATTCTCAAATGTTAATTTTTGCGTTTTATGGCATTTTATTTCACGGGAATTACTGCTATTGTAAATAATATAATCTTTACTAAGTAGCTTCGGGTGCAGGTGTCAGAGATGCAGTCTTGTTTTGTGCACACACACACACACACACACATACATACATACATACATACATACATACATACATACATACATACATACATACATACATACATACATACATATATATATAGCGTAGGTAGGCGCAGTCCGTTGGTCACCCCTAGCGTCCGTTGGTCACCTCTAGCGTCCGTTGCTCACCCCTAGCGTCCGTTGGTCACCTCTAGCGTCCGTTGGCCACCCCTAGCGTCCGTTGGTCACCTCTAGCGTCCGTTGGCCACCCCTAGCGTCCGTTGGTCACCTCTAGCGTCCGTTGCTCACCCCTAGCGTCCGTTGGTCACCTCTATCGTCCGTTGGCCACGCCTAGCGTCCGTTGGTCACCTCTAGCGTCCGTTGCTCACCCCTAGCATCCGTTGGTCACCTCTAGCGTCCATTGATCACACCTAGCGTCCATTGATCACCCCTAGCGTCCGTTGCTCACCCCTAGCGCCCGTTGGTCGTGTTTGTCTTGAAGGTTCCCGCGGTGTTGTGGTAAGATACTCGCCTGGCGTTGCGCAAGCGCTCTTTCCTGGGTTCGTATCCTGGCCGGGGGAAGGATTTACTGGGCGTCAAATCCTTAACGGTAGCCTCTGTTTGCCCAAAAGTAAAATGGATACCTAGTTGTTAAACCATTTGGCGGGTCGTATTCCGAGGAACATAGGATTAAGGACTTGCCCAAAACTCAACGCGTTCAAGTGGCTGTACACGAATGTAAGAATTCTTGAATATATGTAAAAAAAAAAGTGGGTGGACTGAACTTGATGTCAGCATACTCGGTGACATCAAGTTCAAGTACGTTTACGGAGACAATAACATAGATTTCAAAAAAGGATAAGAGTAGCTTAGGCTATTTCTACCTTGCCAAACCCCCCACCCCACCCCCCACCCCCGGTGACATCTCTGTATACCCAGTAATATCTCTCAGAATACCCGGTAACACATTATTGTACCCGGTAACATATTATTGTACCCGGTAACATCATTATTTTACCCGGTAACATCATTATTTTACCCGGTAACATCATTGAACGAAGCAGCTATAAGTGTGTGTGTGAGTGTGTGTGTGTGTGTGTGTTAGTGTTAGTGTGTTAGTGTGTGTAGTGTTAGAGAGCAGAGTGTTTACGTGGGAAATTATTTATTTCTATTTATATAGGGGTTGAGCCTATAGCCGCGTGAGTATATGGTAGCCTTCCAGCTTATATAATCATGGCAACAAAATCGCTGGCCTAGGTTTTATAGCTGGTCTTCCCCCCCCCCCCCTCCTATAACATGTTCTAGCCCCGTCTGTGTGACAGTAACATGCTCGTACCACGTGTGCATGAGAGGTAATATGCACTAGTCACGTGTGTATCCACGTATCATCCGTTAGTCACATGTTAGCCATGTGATTTGTCACGAACTTATCACGCCCCCTACAGAGTACACATGACAAGCACGTGACTACCATGAGTACACACGACCAAGAGCAAACACCACAATCAAAAGTACACACAATCAAGAGCACACAGCAACCAAGAGTACACACAATAACCAAGAGTACACACAACACACACACGTGAGAACCATGGATTTACGCAGGCGTGTTGTGGTAGACCGACGCTAGGCTTCCGGCGACGCTCGCTTACATTTTCGCTAGAAACTCAATCCATCTCAGGCGGCGAGTGCTCCACACCCCTGGTACTCCAGCCTCAGACGGTGAGTGCTCCACACCCTGGTACTCCAGCCTCAGACAGTGAGTGCTTCACACCCTGGTACTCCAGCCTCAGGCGGTGAGTGCTCCACACCCTGGTACTCCAGCCTCAGACAGTGAGTGCTCCACACCCTGGTACTCCAGCCTCAGACGGTGAGTGCTCCACACCCTGGTACTCCAGCTTCAGGCGGTGAGTGCTCCACACCCTGGTACTCCAGCCTCAGACGGTGAGTGCTCCACACCCTGGTACTCCAGCCTCAGACAGTGGGTGTTCCACATTTTGGTACAGTTATGAAGGTCACCTTATTAAATATATGTTGTTTTAGATTCAGCCACTCGGAACAAAAAGTTCCAAGCCATCGCGGGATAGTTGTTGTCCCCTAACTCCCCTTGCCACTTCGGGGGGTATAGGGTGTTTATCAGGGCACCAATCCCCCCAGCCACTGGGCATGGCGAGAAGGCACCCCTAAGCATACCTAATTCCCTATCAAACACAAACTTAAATACACATACATGGCAGATCTCATCACAACCCACAAGAGTTAAGATGATACTAATAACACACAATAATAACCTGAAAAACAAACATATATAAAATGGAAAATTCTTTTGTATTTTTTTCTTATATGGGACACAGCACACACAGGTAGGGGTGCACAGTATATAATTAAAAAAAAACTAACGCTGAAGGCCAAAACAGCAAGCTGCCTAAGCGGCAGGATTGATGACTTGACGTCAGCATACATGGAAAACTATTCATAGTGTTAGCTCCTAACAAGGCCCCGGAGCGGGAAGGATATCATGCATGCGTATGGGGGTCTCTCCGGCAGCCGCCTTACCTACTCGTGGGCTCCGGCCAGGTCGTCCGCCCTCTTGTGAGACACCATTAGGAGAAGTGGTACTCCAGATGACGACTCTGCTTAGATAGTTGGCTACCAGCTATCCTGGCTGCGGTTCACCAAAGCGAGACTATATTGACCCTTATCCACCCTGTGCACGGTGATCCTGGGACTAACGTGGTCTGCCCCTAGATGAGGTCTTGGACCATATTCTGTTGATGGAATGTGTCCAGGTCAGGGCTTTCACAACAAATTTCAAGGTCGCTCTTGGTGAATCCCATATCCTGGAGACCATCTTCCCCTCAAACTATGGGTTATTAAAGAGACAGATACTGTGTGCTTCCAGGTATATTCCCTAACCTTATGTTAAGGAGGCTGTATTTACCTGGCACCGGATGTATACGAGAGTCGAGCTCATATTAATATTTTATTTTTTCAGAATATTTGTGCGTAATTGGTGGTTTTATACAAAATATAAATATTTTATTAACATATAACAGTAGTAATAAAATGTTTTTAAATATATTTTTATTTATTAGTTGATGATTAATCTATATTTTCATTATTGTATGTAACTAATTTGGTGTGATTTAATTGGTGAAAAATATACACTTAATTCCGCACGTGTACCTCTCCCGTTGTGCTAAGTTAGCCCTCCAGACAAGCTCTGACGGTCATTTCAGTTTTCTATGAAAGGTTGGTGTCACGTTAAGGCCTACATTTACTAGCGTGGGTTGAGCTTCGGCTCTTCAATCTCGCCTCTAAACTTTCAATCAATTAATGTACAAGTTCCTGACTATATTAGAATCTATTGTATTTACATGTAAAATTGTATAGAGCCTGCATCCATCACCTTGCTTTTCCGCACGTTTCGCTTGTTCACTATTTCACTACTCACAGCTTTATCAATTCCCTCTGATAATTTTTTTCGATACATTCATATCCCCTTTAACTCTTATGTCGTCCAGCGACGTGAAATTTAATTCTGTAGTTTTCCCCGTAACTCATACATGCTTTGAGAGTTTTGAGAGTTAGACATGACAAAAATTAGTTATATTCAACACAAAAATTGGCTCACGTTGTAGAAACACAACATATGCTTTATATTGTACATAACGCGGCTAATTTACTGAGAAACAACATAAAAGCACGCTGTAAAAGCTAAATTAATCATTATTATATTCAAATAAAGAGCACCTGTTATAGAAATTAATTACAAATAAGGCAAAAACAAAAGATCCTTCAGTCAGCAATTTGGAAAATAATTTGTCCAGGTATTAGGATCAATAGCTGGACATTATTTTTCACCACAGGGATTTACCCAGTGAATGTTTAGAACTTTAGGACTATGTTTAGAACTAAAGTATACTTTCTGGTTATTCAGTGAACTATTGTGGAACTGATACTCAAGAGGCTGATAAGCCTTAAGTCCAACAGCAGACTAAACTAACCTAGGATGAAAGGCCTTAAGCACAACACCAGACTAAGCTAACCAATGTATGTTGTTTAAGACGGTGTAAACATGCTATCAGCCAATGGCACTGTCATGGAATCCGATAGTTTCTTCTCGCCAGTAGGCACAACTCTAGCAAAACATGCCAGCATCACAAAGCGCCGTAAATGACCATACCACAGGCAAGAATCTGTATCTATCCCCCAACAACTTCTTTCACGATAACTTTTACAATCCGGCCACTCAGTGCATGCGACCACCCTTTAATAGCAACCCTAAATTATGATAACATTATTAACATATACAGGAATTGTATTCTATTTTATCTCTCTACAGCAGCAGCAACAGCAGCAGCAACAGCAGCAGCAACAGCAGCAGCAGCAACAGCAGCAGCAGCAGCAACAGCAGCAGTAGCAGCAGTAGCAGCAGCAGCAGCAACAGCAGCAGCAGCAACAGCAACAGCAATACTAAATCACACTCACCAGTATATCTACAGCACCAACACCTGGGGTAATTGTGTCCCTGTAGCCTAGTACCAATGGAGCCACCAGCACCGAAAGAAGTAGTGGAAGCCACCTCCACCCACAACTTTAAGCCCAAATTCGACAGGAAATTCGAACGCCAAGAATGCGAAATTACAACGCAAGAGGTACAACGAAGCCATTGTAGGCGGGGTATAATGAGCTAAACCTCACTTTTTCGTAGTAACTATAGGGTAAGCACTGTTAGGCAAGCACCAGGCGTAGCTACGGCCTTACATGCTCTCGTAGAAGGGGAACGAAGCGGCACAGCTGAATAGAAAAGCCTACATGCGTGTGATGGTCGAGGTAGTGTCAGGAGAAATGACACTGGAGGCATTAGAGTGACGGCAGCAAATGTAGCGATAACAGGAGCAGGAGCAGTAGTAACTACAATAGTGCTAACAACAGCAGCAGATACAACAGCATCAATAATAACAACAGTAGCAGCAACTACAACAGTAACAACAGCAGCAGTAATTACAGTAGTACCAACAACAACAAAAACGGCGCCAACAATAGTATCAATAACAGCAGCTGCTTCAAAAGTAACAATAACAGCAGCTGCTTCAAAAGTAACAATAACAGCAGACATTGCAACAACATTAAAAGCAGTAGTAACAACAACAATAACAGCAGCTGTAACATACAAAACAGCAGCATCCAAATACGTGTAACATCAACTACTTCAATGAGCATACGTATCAACATCAGCACTAACTACACCAAAAACAGCTGCAGCGCCAACATTGTCAGGTGAAACTCTAGCAATAGCACCAACCACACTCTCAGATCAACGAACCTTTTCTCCTACTTCGTTGATAGACATATACAATAATGGCCAAGACTATTGGTACATATCTACGATAATAGTCAGGGTTATTGGTAGATTTCTATGATAATAGTCAGGGTTATTGGTAGATTTCTACGATAATAGTCAGGGTTATTGGTAGATTTCTACGATAATAGTCAGGGCTATTGTGTAAATCACATCTACGGCAGTCACTGACAGCATAACAGCCTCCACATAACCAACTGCGCCACCACCTCCATCATTACCAACATCGTCACCACCATCTTCAGCACCATCTCCAGCACCATCTCCAGCACCATCTCCAGCACCATCACCACCGTCTACAGGGTCTCCAGCACTGTCACCATCTTATCCAGCACAACATGTCTACAAGTGGCTGCCCTGGGCAGCGTATAGGCCTCTGGTGGAGGCCGATTGTCTTTACCGTCTGGCTCACTCTGCACGTTGGCCACGTCTTAGGTAATGATAATAATAATACCATAAAGGATACACTCACTAATAATACGATGTATTATTCTCAAACGTGAAATATGAAATTCGAAATTATTTAAGTATACCTAGGATTTTATTTACAGAAAACCAAATTCTTGAGGCAGTTTCAAAGAAAATGAGTTAAGAATAGACTTATAACTTGAATAAATAAACTTATAACTTGAGAGTATCCTGTTTGGGACAAAGGTTCACTTGCCAGTTTACAAGTAGATTATTATTTGAACCGTAATAGACTTTCAGACCATCACAAAAATATCTAGATAACTGTCTAGTTTGTGTGAGAAATAGGTTTGGTGTCTGGTGGTAATCACTTTACCCTGGGGGCAGAGTTCACATTTCGGTGACTATATCCTTCATAAATTCCGTTCCTCAGATTTTTAACGATAAAATAGGTGATCAATAAAGTGAATGTACTATATAATTTAATATATCAGATTATATAGCTCTCTTGCTGACATAATCTATTGTCATTTTTAATATATTCCCACTGTAATTGCCGACTGGTTGTTTATATATATATATATATATATATATATATATATATATATATATATATATATATATATATATATATATATATATATATATATATATATATATATATATATATATATATATATATATATATATATATATATATATATATATATATATATATATATATATATATATATAAATAAATAAATAACCAGTCTCACGCCTTACCCAGTCCCATCTCTTTCTCAGTCTCCCTTTCATCTACTTGGTAGTATCAGGTGTGTCAGGAGGAGCCCCAACCCGAACTACAGCAGGAGGTGGATTCACAACCGCAGAAGGTGGGTTCACTATGGCAGGTGGTGGGGTTCATTATGGCAGGTGGTGGGTTCTCTATGGCAGGTGGTGGGGTTCACTATGGCAAGTGGTTGGATCAATAGGACACGAAATACGGGTTCCCTCCAGGCAGGAAGGAGGTGGGTCCACTGCACCACGATGCGAGTTCATTAAGCTTGTATCTCAATCGTATGCAAGTAATTATCCGAGCAAAAAGACAATTAAAAGAAATTTCATTATACATGAGTTATAACAAAATATAAATTAGTAATGACAGCCCAGTTATTTTTGCTCATCTGTGCATTTATTTTCCTGCACAGATATGAAGGAGGAGCGGGTGCTTGTGCTGCAGAAGTCTGGTACGCCCTCACCAGAGAGTTATGTCCGTCTAGTCACGCCCTTCCCTAGACTAGACTCTTTCACCATCTGCTACAGGATCAGGCTCGTCAGATTTCGGGAGGAATCGACACTAATGTCCTACGCTTTTTCTATTGACCGGGATAATGAATTTAGGATAGGTGAGAGGTGTTTTTACTGAAGCTATTTTATATTTATAATGCAGGCGAGGGGTACTATAGTAACTTGTTCATTGAAGAGTACACTTTTGAATCCTTGTGTATATAGATGTAAATTCCTACAGGAAATTGTTTGTAAGTAACCTACGAGGATAGGTTGCGGGGTACTCATGGATAGTCTGTGAACAGAGGATAATTGTGGGATCCTGCTATAATATGCGTTAATAAGACAGATGTAGGGTCTTTCTGGAACCAATGCATGTATAGAGGATAAGTGAGAAATTGTCTCCGTGAAATTATCATTGCTTGCAGATTATATGAAGCATTCCATTGAAGTGCAGTTGTATCTGGGTGTTTTACGAAGATTTCTGACAGTATTCAGGCAGTGATTGACAGATATCCTAATTTATTTGCTTAAGTGATTTATCAAAAGCAGAATTGCTTAGGCTACTTTAAAAATCTAACGTTCAAAAATGGATGATTTGATTAGGCTGCAGATGTAACTACTGCAAAATAATATATCACATTATAATACAGTAGTGAATGGCTAAACTAATGCAATGCCTTTCTTAGGTTAATATACTAAATGACAGAGAATACAACAATATTTGAATAGAATTCGTCGCCAGATTTATATAACGGTACTAGAAGATTTAAGGGGGTATTTAATGGATATAATCAGTGTATATAATAATAATAATAATGTATCTGGAATGTATATGTAGACGCGTCACTATTATACAACAGTACTATATTATTATAGAACATTACTTATACACATTGATACATTACTGGGCAGATGCCCCTGGTTTGTTTCCTGTCCTCAGACCATCGTGAGGAAGAGTACAAGGTGTCGATCCAGGAGTACTGGGCGGCCACGAAACTCGTCACACCCCTACGTTCCTGGACCCATTTCTGCTTCTCCTACCAAATGGAGAACGCCTCCTGGACCATCTACCTGAACGGTGAACGGCGAGATGAGGGGACCTTCCCTGCGCACACGTCCTCCTTGCAGACTGGGGGCGCCTTTGTCATCGGTCAGTCTCTTTATCCTCCGTATTACAGCCGAATAGTTTCTATTTTCTGTATACTCGAGTTTTTAAGCATCACAGGAAATCTGCCTCAGGCAGGTCCCTCTGTCCCAGTGAAAAAAATTAATTATTTTTGGAATTATTGTTTTTTTCAGGAGAATGTTCATGACAATATTAAATATACAATTGTGGATTAGGATGTAGAGTTAACATATATGTTCGTTGCGAAAAAAAGAATCTCGAACAGGGCAAGAAAGAAGTTTGGGCACGTTTCCTTGCTCCCGATGCTATTGTTCTAGCTGTATATTGGTGCCTAGAAGTTAAAATTGAAATTGAAATAATTTTATTGAGGTAAAATGCACACAAAGAGATGAGGTAACTCAAGCTATTCTCACCCCGTTCAGTACAACGTGTTCATACATATTTTGACACATCACAAACAATAAACATATTACCGAACATTCTGAGTGATAAACCTAGAAGTTGATGATTGTAGGCCGCCGCCAGGGCCTATCGTTGGCGATATACATATATATGAATTTCTTTGTGGGCGTGTGGCTACAGGCCAGGAGCAGGACACTGTGGGCGGAGGGTTCCAGCGAGACCAGAGCTTCTGTGGCGAGATTACTCACCTCAACATATGGGGCGAGGTGCTCCATCCCCTCACCATACAGCAGGTGAGTAACGCCACTCACATCACGTTTTTTTTTACTCTCACATCTGGTCCCCTCTTACTCTCATATCTGCCCACTCTCACACGAGGACAACTCTCACTTCTACTCTCCTTGATGACAGCTCTCGCCTGAGACAGACACTCACTCTACGCTGGCACTTAGACGTAAACTTTGACCAAAGTATGCGTGGGTCGTGTCATTGACCCCCAGTGTCACTTTACCTGGTAGGTGGCGGCTTGCGAGGAGGGTCGTCCAGGTGACCTGTTGTCTTGGGCCACGTCATCTGAGTTGTGGCAGGTCAACGGAGAGGCGACCTGGGAGATGAGGTCACGAGTCGACCTCTGTCGGCCCACCGGAAGATTCCTCACGGTCTTTCCAGACCCGGTCACCTTGGATCAAGCGAAGCGCTTGTGTCAGGCGAGTTACTTCGTAACGCTACCTGTGTCACTGTTACTTGAGACCAAAACTGGTGTCACGTGAGTCATTGTTACTTGTTGAGAGTGCAGGTATTGCAAGCGTATTAACATTGATGTTGTTATTCACGCAGGTGGCTGGCGGGAGGGTGTTAGTGCCTAGTAACCCTCAGGAAAATTCGTGGGTGTACCAGAGAACGCAGAACATGTTTTCTCATTGCTCCGGGGGAATGGGCGCGAACTTCCTATGGCTTGGGGCTTCTGACGCCGTCCACGAGGGACTCTGGACCTACCTGGACACTACCCTGGCCATCCCGTGGGCGGGGCCCTGGAGGGGCGACGGGCCCAACGGAGGTACTCAGGAGAACTGTCTGGTGATGCTCAATGGCGAATTCCCCGCTCAGTGGTCCGACATTACTTGCCTCGACAGCTACTCCTTCTGCGTCCCCTGCGAGTTCAACCAACTGGAGACCATATACCTCAAGGGTCCCGCCGTGTGCCCTAACTCACCCTTCAACTATCAGTACGTGTTGGTGGACGAACGTGGCACCAGCCGCCCCTCCCTCGCTGGGTTCTACCACTCTGACATCTTCTGGCAAAACAGCTCCTGGTTCCTCCAGTCTCTCAAGGTAGGTCTCTGGAATTGTTAATAATTAGCAATGCTAATAACATAAATGCAACATAATATGAATTGCAGTTGACTAATTATAACGATAATAATGTTTGTGATAGAACTACTAATATCATTTATAACAATAAAAACGAATCGCTACTACTATGTCTCCTACTACTACTACTACTACAACAACTATTACTACTATTACTTCAACAACTACTATTACTTATATTAATAATAACAACAATAATTATTTCAACGGCACTAATGCAAATAATAAAGTTAATTTTAATTATACATGAGGTGGTGGCTGTACCATAACAAACCCGCTGTGTTCCCCTCCCGAGGCTGGCGAGGTGTCAGCCTGGTGGACGCCGGGGAAGGACGGCATGTACCCCTTCGGGACGCGGCCCTGGACGCTGGGCGCGGAGGTGTGTGGCATGAACCCCGGCACTGTCGTCAACCTCACCCTCTCTGTCTGTAAAGAAGGAGAGTTCACTTGCGCCGATGGTTCCTGCATCGACCTGGCGAAGCGCTGCGATTTGCGCATTGATTGCCCCGATGACAGCGACGAGGCAGTTTGTTCCATACTGGACATTCCTCAGGGGTATCGTACTGTCATTCCTCCTCCCCCAATCAACGACTCCCAGTCGCTACACGTCTCTTTCAGCATAAAAGTAATTTCCTTCCCTACTATCGCCACGCAGGATCTCCGCTTCACGGCCACCCTACAGCTAAGACTTCGCTGGAAGGACACGCGCCTCAATTTTCATAACCTGAAGAAGGATCGAACTCTCAACCTCCTGTCTCGGGAGTCCGTCGAAGATATCTGGACTCCACTGGTGTTCTTCAGCAACGCCTTAGGCAACGTGTTTACCAACCTCGAACTGGGGTCTCGCGTAGAGTGTGTTCGCGAGGGACCGTCTGAACCTGGGCCTCACCACTTACCTGACGAAGGTAAGGCAAGTCAGGACGCTGAATAATGCATCAACTCATTAGCAGCAAGAGAATGTACACACAAGTTGATCATGTTATATTCCCAACAAACCTCACCTCTAGGAATTAGTGGCTCAATGGTCATTCTGTTAGTTAAAACACAGATTCCTCCCTCGCTTTGTAATCCTTTTTTGGCGCATGGGTAAAGGGCGTACGTCGTTTGAGTAGGTGAATGAGAATGGGGTAAACTAGCCTCTTCCAGCGATAATACTCAATCCCAACCTGGTTCAATAGTTATGCTGTTAGAGAAACACCTGTTCCTTATTACAAATATTTCTATCAGACCGATTTTAGCTCATTGTTCACACATGTTTTGATGTACAAATAAGTGTACATCAAAATAAAGATAAAACTAATTTTGAAGTAAACAAAAAATAGTATCTTAGTCATTCTTAGAAAATGTATAAACAAAATCGCAATAAAAGCATGAATGTTCACTTGTTATCCTTGAAGTTGTGACTTTGTTCTTCTTTGACAGTGAACGTGTTTTCCGGGCATGAGAACAGCTTGGAGATGAGCCAGCTTTACACTGCCTCTTACAGCTGTGACTTCGATCTCATCCGTTTTCCTTTCGACTCTCAGGTTAGCACAGCCTAACTTAGTCTAATTTAGCATAGCCTAATTTAGTCTAATTTTTGTTTACATATATGCTAATATATTTGACTTATCATTTCACATTTGTTATGCCTTCAACTTATTAATAATTAAATAAGATATCTTAATTTTGTGTTTATTGTTTATTTAGTGATTTGTGTCTCAATAAATCGCCCAAATTGCATTAGTAAAATAGGGATATACAACCAAGAGATGCAATTCCTCTGACTCTTGCTGTGGATACACTCAAAAGTTTACTTTTAGTCGCAGATTCTGTTCAGAACTAAACTGGTTTGTCGGTAAACTGCTACCGTGGCCTCCATAATTTGTCCCATGATTGATAAACACACCGCCAGTCAAATTGTGAAAGAGAAAACGCTTTAATTTCAGCGAACGTTTAGCTTGAAGTGGGAGCCAAGATCTGCCACTAGTCTTCCCTATATAGCAAACGTAGACTTGACCAATATAGATGTTGGGTAATTACAGGTAATATTGATTATGCAGTGTTCCGATTCTCAGATAACCTTCCACTCACTCCCCTCTTCCACGTGAGTCAGGCAGGCTCCACGTAAATCAAGCAAGCCCCAGGGGACTCAAGCAGCCCCAAGTGAGTCAGACAGACCCACACGTCTTACTAGGTGAGTACACGCGAGTCAGGCAGGCCCTAGGTGACTCAAGCACGCCCCCCACGAGGCTCGGGTAGACCCAGCCTTTGTTTCTAGTGACGCCATTGGTTTCCCTCCGTCAGGTGTGTCGGTTGAGGTTCGCTCTGGTCTCCGCTGCGGCCTCCTTCATGGTCATGGACCCGCACCTGGCCACCTACATCGGCCCCAAGTACCTGGTTGAGTACGAGATCGGTGAGTTGACTCACTGTACTCACGCTACGCTACCCGATTAACTGTACTCACTGTGCTACCTGATTCACTGTACTCACTCTATCACCTGACTCGCTGTATTCAGGCTATGTCACCTAAATGTACTCAGGCTACGTAACTCGACTCACTGTACTCATGCTACGTCAACTCACTCACGTTTCCTCACTTGACTTACTGAACGTCCTTTCCAGATACTATATATATATATATATATATATATATATATATATATATATATATATATATATATATATATATATATATATATATATATATATATATATATGTGTGTGTGTGTGTGTGTGTGTGTGTGTGTGTGTGTGTGTGTGTGTGTGTGTCTTTTTACACTATGTAAAAAGACACCTCTTTTTGGTGTTTTTCGAACAAAACAGTGTTCGACCTCGAACACTGTTTTATTGGACAGACATAAATCTGTGTACAGTATTTATGTCTGTAGGTTAGATTAGCATTTTAAAAGCACTACAATCACTTTCTGTCGTTGATTTCTCAATAAATCACTGAACTATATGTTTAATACAGCTACACTGACAATACACTGCACCTGCCCGTTTGGTTAACTGAGGCAATCACCGCTATCATATGCAGTTATTGAAATAACTGTAAAGTTAGATGAGATAGTTTAAGATTACTGTGAATAACTGATATGTCGCGTTGAATAAATGAAACGCCATATCTTTGACTTGTGTATATCTCTCGTATCGATAACATTTCTCGAGTGTAAGAGAAATGTTATCGATACGAGAGATATACACGGCCTGTAACGAGTGAATGGGAACATTGACCTCTAACAAGTGAATGAGTTACATGCAGGCGTTAGGTTTCTGCCTGTTATTTATAGATGAAAACGGTGAATGCAACAATCATCAACTCCTGTTAGTGATTGTAAGCGTGCACGCACCATAGCCTATACCTGGCCGTGAATGGTCGGTGAGCTCTCCATGCACTCCGCCCTGCCTACGACTGATTGGCGAGCATTACTACAATTGCTGATTGTGCCTTATCTGTAATTTGTTACGTACCATCTTTCTGGTCGATGGAGCGCCATGTACTGAGATCACGTCATCCGATCTTGGCCATGGGGCGACTTACCCCATGGCCAAGAGTTGCTCCGGGCGACTTACGATCCAATTTCATGTTATTTATTAATATATTGTCACTTACGATTCTGAAACCGCTCTTCCTTCCCCAGGCGACATCACCATGCACCGCCAGGAGGAGGACGGAGGAGGAGAGAGCGAGTTCTCTACCATAGAGGTGGAGGTGAGGTTCATCCGTCGGTACACCTTCTACCTCCTCACCCTCTACATCCCCACCACCTTCCTCATCGTCATCGCCTACGCCACCTTCTTCTTCCACCCGGACGACTTTAACTCGCGCATCACCGTGGCCATCACCTCCCTGCTGGTGTTGACCTCCCTCTTCACGCAGGTAGCTAGCTCCTCGGAGATGCTTCTGGGTCCTCTATAACACTCCTTAAATGGCGTCTATAACTCCTTTACTCTATGGTAACCTGTTGCCCACTGCAGGCTTTTCGACATCTATCTTCGGTGGTATTGTCACGATATACGAGAGCTTTCTCTAGTAAGCCAACCTGCTCGTCACCTCCGTAAACACGATAGCAGTTCGATGGCAAGTATCATCCGTAAGCTTGTGGTAGTTGTCGTCTGGTTACACATACACTCGTCCTGCGATGCCGGGCACCGAGCAAGCTTTCGCCCCGATACGTGGCAAGAGACCGCCGGACCACTACAAGAGGCCGCCGGTCCATTACAAGAGGCCGCCGGTCCATTACAAGAGGCCGCCGGTCTACTAAAAGAGGCCGTCGGTCCACTACAAGAGGCCGCCGGTTCATTACAAGAGGCCGCCGGACCTCTACAGGAGGCCAGACCACTATAGTGTTAACTGAATAATCGGTGAAGAGACTGAATTGGTCAGGGGGGAAGATGACAGATTCTGTCCATCTTGTCCCTCACAGATTCGCCAGAATCACGTTATATAATCAGTGATATGAGTCCTAATATCTTATTCTAGTCCAATTTGATTTTCCAATCTCAGGAAAATAAGATTAACAAAAAAATTGTGTATTTGTTTTGCGAATTGTCTTTATTTTCATTGTTGCTTCGCTGGTGCCTGTATGAGACGTTCATTTTGTTTATTTTCAAGGTATTTTCACAGACGTCAAATGCGCTGCCCAAGACGTCTTACTTCAAGATGATCGACGTGTGGCTCTTCTTTTCAATCGTCGTCATATTCTTGGTCATCTTACTGCAGACTCTCATCAACTTCTCCAAGCCAGCGCCCTCTGCCACCACCACCACCCATCACAACTCATGGGCGGCCAGAATGGCAGTGAGTGTTTGTGAAGGCTGTGTTGAGTGTTTGTGGCGGGTATGCTGAGTGCATGTGCAGGTTATGTTGGTTGCTTATGAAGGCTATGTTGGGTTCTTGTGAAGATTAATTATGTTGAGTACATATATAGACCTTGTTGAGTAATTGCCGTATAAGAATGGAATTCCATTGCTCGAACTAATAACGTCTGCCGTTGCAGAGTAAGTTGATGTACGGGCAAGTCAGGACTTCGCAAAGATCACCCCCAGTCAATTCAGGAGCTGATGAAGGGGAAGAGACATCTTTCAGACGGGACCCTCGCCTTCAGGAGAACCACGCCGGCCTCCGCTACACGAACAACGACGCTTCTAGTTCTTCAGAGACTCGTTCTAATTTCCCGAAGAGCGAGAATATTATCTACGAACGTGCAAGTTTACGTCAGCGGGACAAACAGGAAGAGGACGCCCAGCGACAGAATGTGAAGACCGGCCAGAAAGGGCGGGAAAGTCGGCCGCGCGCGGTATTTGGATCTTGGTTTCCTCCTAAAAACGATCAGGACGGCGTCAATATGTCGCTGATGGTAAAGAGTAGGATCCTGATTCCCGTGATATTCGCTTTGTTTAACATATGCTACTGGGGTATCGCCTTTATTTAGAGTAATATGTATATATGACAAGTGGTGGTGTACGGCCAACACCTGTAGTTCGGTGTTGGCCGTAAGTCCGCAGCCACGGTCTACAGTTATCGAAACAGCTTGAATACACCTGAATCGCATTGAATTCTCACTAGACATGCTCCCATTCCTTAAGGTTTGTCTAACAGTTTTAGATAAGTCCGTTCATCCCAAATTAGTGATGAGTATTCAATGATAAATGATAGATCGTAGTTCGTGAGTGGTAATGTGTTAAACACGCCTCTGCATCAATGGGATTTACGACCCTTCTTAGGCATGCAAATCTCCTGCGGTATTTAGCTGCTACATCTATCATTGCTACATCTATCACACCTACACCTATCACTGCTACATCTATCTAGAGCTAATATATAAATTGATAATTTGTATGTCAAGTTACTAAAGTCAGATTATCATTATTATTACCAATCGTATTTTTATTATCGTATTATCGTAATTTCTTATTATTAAGGAGTGTCCGGCTGCGTTCGGGTCTCTTTCCCCTCTTTCCCTTCTCTCTGCCTTTCTTCCTCCCCCCCTCGCCACCTTCTCTCTCAATCCCCCCCCCCCTTCACAAATCTGCATTTGTGCAGCTGCCCTAGACTATATGAAGGGGAGTACAGTGTGTGTCAAAAAGCTAGCTACGTGGTGCTAAAAATCCCCATCACACAGGATGGTTAGTCATACAGAGGCATGTGATAAGTAGCCTGCACTGGCAGACTCTGGGTGCATTATGAGGATATCCTTAAGAACTCGAGTGAGTAAAGTAATTGCAAAGTTCCAGGTACCTCATGTCAACTGGCCTGAAAGGTCTAATAACTGGGCATTCGGTGATGTAGTGTGGGAGATCATGCCGCAGTTCCTGCTCACAGGGTGTGCACCTGGAGTGCTCAGGATTGGGAGATCCGTCACCTATAGCCACCTGCCACAGATAACGGTAGCCACCTGCCACAGGTAACGGTAACCTAACCTGATCCTGGCCACGTCTCAGAAAATATAGAGAAATCTAGGGACTCGGCCAGCCATCTTTCACTGACTATATGGTGGGAGTCACTGTTGGGTCCTACCTCTCCCCCTCCACTTAATAGCACTGACCCCGACCAGTCTATGTCCATCTCGAACCCCAGACCATTCACCCTGCAACTTTGGACAGGCAGACAAACGAACGGACAAAGATTCAATCTCTATTATTTTTACATCTTTCCCCCTCCCTTGTGAATTGTACTAGCTCCTGTACCCTGTTTCTTGTATCATGAACCTTGCGCCATATCTTGTACCTTGTAATACTTCACCTTGTACCTTATACTTTATAACATATCACTTGTTCTCTGTGCCTACCATGCTGCAGAATCTTCCAGGCTTGGCGCCTTCTTTTGATAATTACTTGTCTTACTTGTACTCAGTACCTTGCAAGCCTGAGAAGATAATTAATAGCACCTGGGCAGCAGGTATTGTGAGTCCTGCCCCTCTGAGGTACTTCAGGTCACAAGAAGACACTGCAGAAGGCCTACTAACAGCAAAACAAGGCCATTAGGTCTTCCGCAATTTGTTTTTGCTACATCATAAGGGGTCAAAAACAGCAGAACTGATTCTAACTCCATACAAAGAGATCAAGGAACATTAGTATTGATACACAGAGAAGTCGCTGTAACGTGATATATTCTCATTGATATATACCATGTTACTGTGATATATTCTCATTGATATATACCATGGTACTGTGATATATTCTCATTGCTATGTATCACTTTATTGAGATCTCATTGAAATATATATCACGTTAATGTGATTTCCTCTGTGTATTTAAAGTGGGGCGTTAGAGGTAGAATTCCTGGATGACAGAAGTCAGAATGGATGAGAGGGGGGGGGGATGATTGTGTGAAGCCTTGGTTTGAATTCAGTGGAATCCTCGTAGGCTCAGCAGACCCCCAGGATGCAATTCTTTTTGAGCCTGTTTATTGTGGCCTAGACGGCTAGATCGTGTGTCTGGTAATACCCAACGCATAGGTTCGAATCCTCATCACGGACTCCTGTGAATTTTATTATTATTTATGTGCAAAACGATATTAACAAACATAAATTAACTGAATAAATTATTAACCACAGAGTTCTATAAATATGAAGGAGGATTAGTGTATTGTTTCTCAGTCTCCGTAGCGGTCCAGGAGCTGGAGCACCTGGCGGTAGACGAGGTGGGCGGCATTCTCCGCCAAGACGAAGTCTGCGTGATTGAAGTCTGAGAGAGGAACCCGATAGTCGAGGACGACTTGCGGTAACTCCGCCACCGTCTGGTGAATCCCCTGCAACACAACAAAGTCTGCCCTTAATCTCCGTTTTCTTACACTCAAATTTCTCGTTCTCTAGCAAGCACATTTCCCATTCTCTTAACACTCAAATCTATCATTCTCTAATAATCTCTGAAGGCTGCATAGAGCCTCGGTAAATATACATACACTCTGTATGTATATTTTCCGAGGAGAGGAGTCAAAACAATACCCGAGTATAATTGAAAAAGAAAGCAAACTATTATATCTAAATATTGCATTATATTTCTGAGAGTCAGTTTGAGTTCTGGCCGAATGTACATTCTTGTAAGTATGAAGAATGTGCGAAATGTACACGAATGTACAGAGGGCGGTACCCTCTGTACAGTGTACACCTCCTATGTGGCTCATGGCGGCTGAGTTAGTAAACAGTTTACAGACTCCAAAGCGCTACGAGGTCTTCCACATATAAGGTTATGGTTGTTATGGTTGACCTGATATAGCACTTCGGGGCTCGTAAATTGTTTTGTAAATACCAACTAAGCTGGCTAAGATGGAATTAAGAGGTACAGAGCTCGCAAGTGCATTGTGAATGCGGCCCCTGGATCATTACCCTGACCTCATGCAGGGCTCAAACTCGAGGGAATAATATAATAATTTCCTGGACTTTATACTAAAATAAATAGTTAGGTTTATAGCGCACTTTGCAGGGACTCTATTCCCATTTTAATTAGTTAAAAATTGTTTAACAGTCTGTTCAATAATTTTTAATATTTTGATTCTAGATTCAACAACAAATTGACAATTTTCTAGCATAATTATTCCTAAAAGGAGTCACATCTGAAGAAGTTAAGGTAAGGTAATTATCAGGAGAAAGCACCAAGGTATTACGACTGTATTGAGCCGCAGGAGTTAGGAAGCATAAGATTTATATCACCAGTGCAGTAGAGAAAACAATTAAAATTTAGACAAAAAAAGGGCATCGTCTCAGAGTGTCACCAACATCCTAGAGGATATCAACAGGAATGAACACTTGCTTCCTAGCCACTTGGCCGGGACGGTAGAGGGACGGTCTTGCTTCATGCAAGTCGGCGTTCAAGCCCCGACCGTCCACAATTGGTTGGGCACCATTCCTTTCCCTCCGTCCCATCCCAAATCCTTATCCTGACCCCTTCCAAGTGCTATATAGTCGTAATGGCTTGGGCCCTGATAATTCCCTCCCTCCCTCACCTGTGGATCGGCAACCCAGTCGTTTTCAGACCAGAAGACACCAACAGGGACGGTGACGGCGTTCAGGGTGAACTCCGGAGGGTGAGGCGTCCCGTACACCGCCGAGTTCCTCGCCTCGCCGAAGTCGAAAGCTTGAAATTCGCCTGCAACAGCATGGTACAGAGCTGAGAGTGGTGGCAACCGTTCATTCTGGCGGGATGTTGTGATGTTCGGGGTGTTGTTTGGTGGAGGAGGTGGAGGGTTGGTGGTTGTTGATTGGTAGATTAGTGAGATGCGGTTGTTATATACGTGGTTGTACAGTGGTTGTTCCATGTGGGTGTTACAAACGTGGTATGTGGAATTCCCCCATATGTACTTTCTGAGGTATTTTGTCACAAACCGTAATGCAGTGTATTTGTATTATATTTATTTTAATTTTTATTATTTATATATCTACCTCCTGTGACAATTTTTGCCAAATATTATCAAATATGAAAACAGTCTACGTAATAAGCTGTTTACTGCAAGCTGGATAATTTAAACAATGCGTTGGGCAAGTAAATTATTGATGACAGCCAATGGCAGACTAAATTTTGAGATGGATCTACAGGAGGGTACTCACTTGAGTGGTGCATCTACGGAAGAGTACTCACCTGAATGAATGTTCTGTAGAAGGGTACTCACCTGAGCGATGGACCTGTAGGAGATGAACGAACAAGTGGAGCCCGATGCCATCCGGCCAGTGGGAGAAGATAACAGGTAGATACTCCTATAAGAGAACACTCAAGAGTTACTCAAATACAGTTTTTCTTACAGGAAGAAGCTCAGAGACTGAGTTACGAGTAATATAAATGGGTACACACAAACTGCTAAAGGAGATTTGCCTTAATTTGCCTGATGGACACATCTTTAGTGGCCTTGAAGGGGGGCAGGAAGCCCTGAGGACCACCATCTTTAGTAGCCTTAAAGGGGGTAGGAAGGAGACAGGAAGCCCTGAAAGCCACCTTCTTTAGGAGCTTTGAAAGGGACAGGAAGCCCCGACTGCTACCTGTCCCCGTGCACGTATTCTCGTGCAATTAAGATGCACGTGAAGAAGAGTACCATTAATTCAGGCGGACCACCATCATGTTTGGCATCCATGGAGAGCTGTTCTCATTTGGAGTCCTGGGGCCAGATTCATGAAGCAGTTAAGCAAGTACTTGTGAACCTGTACATCTTTTCTCAATCTTTGGCGGTTTTGTTTACAATTATTAAACAGTTAATGAATTCCGAAGCACCAGGAGGTTGTTTATAACAATAACAACAGTTGATTGGAAAGTTTTTATGCTTGTAAACTGTTTAATAATTGTAACCAAAGCCGTCAAAGATTGAGGAAAGATGTACACGTTCGTAAGTACTTGCGTAACTGCTTCGTGAATCTGGCCCCAGGTATTGTACGAAGGCCAAAGTGCTACGTCTGGTTATGTTTCAACATCAGGACAACTACTACAGATTAGTGAGCTTGTACAAAGCTTATGGGTGGAGCTGCCATCTTGGGTGGAGTGTTAGAGTACAAATTCAGGTACCCAGGAGGAAGGTCAAGACCCGACCTCAGTATCTTGACCGGGCTGAAATGCCTGGATCTATACTCACCCCCAGTGACGTCACGCAAACTCTGGAAAGGAAGCAGTCAAGGGATAGGCCAATATACTTGCTACCCTGTGATTGGTGTATTCATACGGAAGTTCGCTGGCGCCCTGAGGGGGCTACCACAGTGGGGGAGGAGGTGCTGTGCAGTCAGGCGAGGGGGGGGGGGGTCACCCGTATGCCAACGGGTCTTTATAGAAATATGTTTGGGGGGGGGGGAAGGGTACCTTGTACCTCTGAAGGCTGTCGACCATATTGCAACTGGCGATACTGCAACCAGAGATGGTCAGGGGGACAAAAAAAACTGATGTTCGGACACTCACCTTGTCCAGGTAGACGGAGTTGATACCACCAGCTATTGAGAAGTAGAAGATGATACACAAGAGGCTGGTGAAGGTTCTCTCTCCACACAGGGCCGAGGACGCTGCCATGGATTTGTACGTCGACGGAAATAACTCCAGCTTTCCCAAGCGTGTTAGCTGCTCCTGCAACACAAACAACCCCCACTGAGGGCAACATCTGCAACCTAAGCTTACCTCCCCCGTGGTCTTGCCCAGTTGGTAATACCTCCCCCCACCCCATAGGGCCTATGGGGTAACGGTATATACACTATACTCCCTCCCATGCCAAGATGACGGGAGACATCTCCCGTCACGCAAGGTGCAGTCGCACCTCCACAGATCTCCAGTATCATCTATTGATACTGGTGATGGCTCAAAAGGGCCACCACTTACGGGCTATTCATGCCCGTGCCACCTTTTGGGTGGCTTAATCTTCATCAATCACCATGCCAAGAGGGAGGGAGGGTACTGTATATACAGGCGAGCCGTAAGCCTGGAAATGCCAGGCTTGACCTCGCTTGTATATATAACGTAAACCATCCTCCGTTGGAATTTCCCATTGACTGTGTCTCTGACGAAGGACAGAGACCACACGAAGATGTTAAATAATAAAAGTTTAGAAGTTAAAAGACAGTTGGCGCTGGCGGTTTAAAAGAAAGAGAATTGGTCGAAATCTTGGAGAAAGATATAGGAATTTGATATTTCTGTCTGTGTGAGTGTCTGAGTTTCTGACTCTCTCTCTCTTGCTTACATCAATAACACTGCCAAAGGGTGATAGAAGACTCATAGGGACATGTCTGCCTCGGATGTGTGCTGCTGGCGCCATAGCTGCTACAACCCGCACCTGTGGAGACAACACTTTAGAAGACTGTGTGTGTAATTACCTAAGTGTAGTTACATGATGAGAGCTACGCTCGTGTGTGTATGCGTGTGTGTTTGCGGTTCTGGCATTCACTGTATGTGTGTATTTATTATTTGTGCCTGCAGAATCGAGCTATTAGCTCTTGGACCCCGCCATTTAACCGATCTATTTGTTTTCTTCAATTATGTCTACTACCTATATTTCTTTCTAACACACCCATACACATCCCCAGGAAGCAGCTGTCTAATTCCCAGGTACCTATATATTGCTAGATGAACAGGCCCATCATTTGAAGGAAACTATCCCAATTTTGTTTCTGCCTCGTCCGGGAATCGAACCCAGGCCCTTAGGACTACGACCTCCGGCCGCTGAGGCTGAGTGGACAGTGCTTACGTTTATCGAGGCCAATATAGGCCATCAACTGATCTTTCCCAGGATGCAATCCTCAACAGTTGCCTAACTCCCAAGTACCTATTTACTGCTAGGTGAACAGCGGCAAGGAAACGTGCCCAAACGTCACATTCTGTTCTGGAATCGAACCCGGAACCATTGGGTTCAACAATAGAATTCATCCTATCTAAGTGGGCGAGGCTGCCACCTCTTTTCTTCTCGGAGCGAAGCAGAGAATTTACAACGCCTGAATATGTTTAGAAGTACAGCGCCCGGCAAACACACAACGCAACAATCCCTATTGTTATCTTGTTACAACTTGCTACAAAGTTTTTAAGACGTGTTAGAAAGTTGTTACAACTTGTTCGAACACTGCAGCAACGTTCGAAGTTTCGTCGTGTGTTTGGCGGGAAGATACCGTATCTTAATAATTTTCCCTTTGAAGAAGCATTTCAGAAGAACATAATCAAAAGACACGGCGCACCGACCCAGGAGTTGATGTATGGGTGGTAGTTGACCACAGCGAAGAAAATGCTCGCACCGAGAGAGTGGCCCACATAGTCGACCTGCGCAGCGCCCGTTGTCTTGCGCACATAGCGCAGCATGGCGGGAACATCGTAGCGCGCCAACTCGTTGAAACTGTACACAGAGGGCAGCGTTGATAAGCACGATGATATGAACAATTATTTACAGAAAATAACCATAAAAAACACTTACGGGGCTATTCATGCCCGTGCCATCTCCTGGGTGCCTTAATCATCAATCAATCAATCAATCAATCATAAAAACAGCAATGATGATAATAATAGTTCTATCGTGGAAGATATCCCCGGTCTATTATGCCGGTATATTCCCCTATATAACTAATACTACTCGACATAACTAATCATACACAATATACACACACATATATATAATACACAAAATATAAATAAAATACACAACATATACAAAACTTGAAGAATACAGAACATACGTGTGAGCTCTTGTAACAAAAAAAAGCTAACTTCTTCAACAACAGTCCATTTATAATTTTTCAAAATTAAATTAATCATATAACATTTGTTATAACCAATCGGGTTGCTAAGTAGCCAAATTTAATACACCTTTTGTATATTGCTAGCGTCCATTGTCATTTTCTAATTACAATAATATTGTATTATAATTTTGATATAACAGGCGCAGAATTTCACAAATTATCGCCCTAGAAACCAAAACAATAACAATTTATTTGTTAAATGTTCACGCTTAAAGATTGGATTTGATATGCTAAGTTTATTCCTCTTACTAAATAAATATGTCTATCCATGAGTATGTAGAAAATTCCGTTAAGTTAATGCTAAGTCCCAGAACTTGGGATACTTGCCACCCACCTGAAGTCCCATAATTTGGGATAGTTGCTACCCACCTGAAGTCCCAGAACTCAGGTTGGCTGGGAGAGAGACTAACATGCCGTCGACCATATGAAGTTCCTCTAGCGTTGCCAAGCCAAACATCGTACCCCGCGTCCGCTAGGATAAAGGCTGTGAGGAAAAGCCTAATCATTAATATCATACAAATATTAATTAATGCTAGTAATACACTACTAAGATCAAAGTCTATATTTTATTTTGTAAGTTAATCCATACTATATAACACACAAACACACATATATACAATATATAAAGGACGTTTTTATTAATAATAAATATTTGAAAAATTTCCGGAACTTCGTACTCACCTAATGCTTGGTCGGGGTCGTTCAAGACAAATCCCGCGCTAGAGAAGAGCACGCCATGCATAACGAAAACCACACGAGGCTCGCCATTGCTACTCCGTCTCCTGCCCTTGTAGGTGCTGCTTTTGATGCCTTTGTAGTTGCGGCTCTTGTTGACTCTGTAGTTGCTACTGGTGGTGGTGGTGGTTTTGACGCTGTTGAGTTAAAGAACAGAGAAGCCACTCAAACGCAACTTAGTTATGAGATATCAGGAAAGTTTCTAACAGAGAATAGAAAAAAAATTAGATACATTATGTCAAAGTTGTCCAAGAACTAGTGAACTAGTTGATACTATTCTATTCCCTTTTAATAAAATTGTATTGGCATATAGAACAAATGCTAAATCATAACTTTGAGAGCAGGGATCGACCAGAGTTGTGATGGCATGCATCACTCCCCCTCTGCCTCTGGCTTCACTTGTAGTGACCAGAAGGTTATTATCAACCTACCTGTCCCCTGGTGCCTTGAGAATCGCGGTCTTCATCACCTCCCCCAACTCTGAACCTCCATCATTCTTGTGTAGAGCACGATGGAAAGCCTCAAGAAAGGTGTGAGTGAGCCCGAGGATACTGGTGTCAGAGAGGGTGTGGCGGTAAGGAAGCGTGCTAGTGTTCGACAGAATATAAGGGTTGGGTAAGCCGTTCGTATATGGGAGGTTTCCGGCGTTCGGAAGTGAGTCGCTGTAAGGGTGGGTGTGGCCATTCGGTAGTAGATCGTTGTTCGCGTTGCGGCCATGCGGAATGCGATGCATCTCTAGGATGTAGCCGTCGTCGGTGGTGACGTGGTGGACCTCGGCCGGGTACCCGCGGACCTGGATCAGCTCTGGCTGGTGGAGACACCGTTCGTCAATACCACAATATGACTGCTCGTTAAGGTATAGCTGCCGTATCTAACAGTCTGGGGCCAGATTCACGAATCATTTACGCAAGTACTTACAAACGTGTACATCTTTCCTCAATCTTAGATGGCTTTGGTTATATTTATTAAACAGTTTACAAGCATGAAAACTTCCCAATCAACTGTTGTTATTGTTATAAACAGCCTCCTGGTGCTTAGGAGGCTGTTAACTGTTTAATAATTTTAAACAAAGCCGCCAAACATTGAGAGAAAATGTACAGGTTCGTAAGTGCTTTGCGTATCTGCTTCGTGAATTTGGCCCCAGAACCGTACTACTTGGCCTAGTAAGCAAGGCACGATTTGCTTAACAGCAACAACATTTGTCGTTATTTTCATATATTTCTTTCAAATTTGTTTAATTGTTTTGGTTCAAATTAAAAAAAAATCCAGTTGATTAGCACAAATTACATCTGTCCATGGATGCCTTACTGTGGTGAGGTGAGTGTGTGGGTGCTCAGGTGTGCGCCGGGACCTGGTGGGGTGGTGGTGAGTGCTGTTCGCTGCACTGTGGTTGCCTCCTGCCTTCGTCAGCAGCAGCAGCAGCAGCAGCAGCAGCAAGAACAGATGAGGAGTGCCTTCCGTCATGATGGCACACACAAGTGTTTTGAAGTCAACCTGGTCAGTGAACATTTGAATTACCAGAATTACAAATAAACTGATGTACTGTAATTGTGAGCGTGATTTGATATATACTAATAATAGAGACTCAGAAGTTCCAGTGCTGATGGGGTTCATTTCAAAAATTGTAAAAAAAAGGTGGGATTTGTATACACACGAGACTTACTAAACAAATTCACAATTTATATTTAAAAACAAAAAAGGCAGTGGAGAGAGTTTTTCATAATGTTCTTTTGGTGCTCCCAATTATTTGTACGTCGGTCGATTCAACTAATTCACGAATTTAACTAATCCTCCTAAAATTATATTACTCATAGCAACTTTATTATTTTTATTATTATTATTTTCTACCACAAACGTGGCCACACATTCTTATAGCAACTATTTGGTCGAACGTACAAAAATGTAGCCTATTCTCGCAAGCGTTACCATCGTCAAAAAAGTGTCGTACTAAATTAAGTGCCCTTATCCTAACTTACCAGAGGACCCACAAACAGAAAACGAAACATTATGTCATTACATTACATTATTCCGCAAGCTGCTGCCATTTTCTAGTAACAACAGTTTTTAGCCTTAGGAAAAGTATAGGTCAAAATTCAGGTAAATTTAGGTAAAATGAGACGTGCTATTAGAAGCACTGTTGCTCTTAATAATGTTCATGTTTTCTTCTATTAAATTTGTAGAGAGCCCGAAAATATAAAAACCAAAACCAAATTTAAACATTCTTAGGCCTAGTATTTAACATATATGTACTAAATTAGGATTGAAACGTATATTAGACCTAGAATTGCTTGGACAGGTTAGTTTAGGCTTTTAGTTAATCTTCCATTTTCTTGGTGCCATTGAGGCTAATTCAGCGATAGAAAACGGGAAATTTGTAGGGGACCAACAGTCTATTTGTGTACATTTGACTAAATAATTATAATAATTCATTATGAAGGGGGACAGGTAGCCAGTGTATATATATATATATATATATATATATATATATATATATATATATATATATATATATATATATATATATATATATATATATGTCGTACCTAGTAGCCAGAACTCACTTCTCAGCCTACTATTCAAGGCCCGATTTGCCTAATAAGCCAAGTTTTCCTGAATTAATATATTTACTATAATTTTTTTCTTATGAAATGATAAAGCAACCCTTTTCTCTATGTATGAGGTCAATTTTTTTTATTGGAGTTAAAATTAACGTAGATATATGACCGAACCTAACCAACCCTACCTAACCTAACCTAACCTATATTTATAGGTAAGGTTAGGTTAGGTAGCCAAAAAAAGCTAGGTTAGGTTAGGTTAGGTAGGTTAGGTAGACGAAAAAACATTAATTCATGAAAACTTTGCTTATTAGGCAAATCGGGCCTTGAATAGTAGGCTGAGAAGTGCGTTCTGGCTACTAGGTACGACATATATATATACATGTTAGGCTTATATTAAGGTTCCTCCCTCTTCCCCCAAGATTGAATTACTGACCCTTTCCAGAATGCAACTCCCATAAGAAGCTCTCACTAACTCCTGGGTACGTATTTGCTGCTAGGTGAACAGATGCACCAGGCGATTGGAAACGCGCCTAACCATTTCTGTCCTACACGGCATTCGAACACGGAATTCCCGATTGTGAATAGAGAATGAACCCGGCTTCGTACTCTACTAGTGGGGGGGGGGGCTATAGGCTACAAGAATTAGTGTCCACGTTTCTAATTCCATTTATTGTATATTGTGATATACAATAACCGGCGGTTCATTGTATCATTGTATAAGGTCAGAGGCCACCAAATAAGCAAGTCACATTTTGTCCACAGGTTTCCCAGAGGTGCGGCAAACCTGCCAGCAGGCAGTGGAAGGCACTTGGATGGTTGGCAGTGGAAGGCACTTGGGTGGTTGGCAGTGGAAGGCACTTGGATGGTTGGCAGTGGAAGGCACTTGGGTGGTTGACAGTGGAAGGTTCTTGGGTGGTTGGCAGTGGAAGGTTCTTGGGTGGTTGACAGTGGAAGGTTCTTGGGTGGTTGACAGTGGAAGGTTCTTGGGTGGTTGACAGTGGAAGGTTCTTGGGTGGTTGGCAGTGGAAGGCACTTGGGTGGTTGACAGTGGAAGGTTCTTGGGTGGTTGGCAGTGAAAGGTTCTTGGGTGGTTGACAGTGGAAGGTTCTTGGGTGGTTGGCAGTGGAAGGTTCTTGGGTGGTTGACAGTGGAAGGTTCTTGGGTGGTTGGCAGTGGAAGGCACTTGGGTGGTTGACAGTGGAAGGCACTTGGGTGGTTGACAGTGGAAGGTACTTGGATGGTTTGCAGTGGTCGGCACTTGGATGGTTTGCAGTGGTCGGCACTTGGATGGTTGGCAGTGGAAGGTACTTGGATGGTTGGCAGTGGAAGGTACTTGGATGGTTGGCAGTGGAAGGTACTTGGGTGGTTGGCAGTGGAAGGCACTTGGGTGGCTGGCAGTGGAAGGCACTTGGGTGGTTGGCAGTGGAAGGCACTTGGGTGGTTGGCAGTGGAAGGTACTTGGGTGGTTGGCAGTGGAAGGTACTTGGATGGTTGGCAGTGGACGGCACTTGGATGGTTGGCAGTGGAAGGTACTTGGATGGTTGGCAGTGGACGGCACTTGATGGTTGGCAGTGGAAGGCATTAAAATGGGTGGCAGTGAAATGCATTAAAATGGGTGGCAGTGGAAGGCATCAGAATGGGAGGCAGTTGAAGGCACTAGGATGGCTGGCATTGGAAGACACTAGTATGTCAGACATAGTATGGCACTAGTATGGCAGGCAGTGGAAGGCACAAGGATGGCAGGCAGTGGAATAGCACTTGGATGCCAGGCACTGACCGACAAAACTAACAGGATTAATTAAGTAGTCACCACACAAGGGAGGCCCGGAAGCCTATTGTCGGCTCCCTCCAGCAACCACGTGAGAGTAATACAGTAAGGTCGACACTCTCAAACATACTCACGCGTGAATGTAGGGAAGGGACTCTGGATCATGTACACCAGTCGATTGATGGTTGGGAGGCGGCGCACGCGAGCTAAAGCTCCACCTTAATTGGGAGCGGAAAGTGAAAACACTGGCGGCGGCGCTCGCCCTCACGGTAATACACTGTATTGACCCACTCAGGAGGTATAAAGCAGGTGGAGCTGGCGGTAACAGTGAAGAATGGAGAATGACAAGTGCTCTCTCACACCCCACCTCTTTCCAGACTGGTCAGATAATACCAGGTCACTACCACCACGCCCAGTGTCAGGTGTTTTTTTGTTTTTGTTTTTGTTAGATGGTGTTGCAAACTAGAACGAGCTTCGAACCTGCACTTGACTTCTCAACTTGTTTTTTTTTTGGAAGGCTCAAAATTGGCCTGTGAATGTACCAGCCTGACCTTCCAAGCAGCTTCGTGCCAAAATTTACTCCATACTTTTCCGCTTTTTCAAGGTCCAGACTGTCCAGACTGACAATTTTTTTCCCAAAACAGTAAGTTAAGGGTCCTCTGGTAGGTTAGGAGGGCAGGAAATTCTCCTAAAGTTTCAAAACGTCATGAAAAATGTTAATTGAAAGTTTCCTCTCCTAACCTTACCGAGAAAGCTTGAGGACTCAAACAGAAAACGGGACAGTACATAACTTTCGTGAGCCGATTTCATTTCAAATTACGTCTATTTTTGGCCATAGCGCGCATACGAGCGAAAAACGACGTTATTTTTAAGAGGACGGGTTGAAGTAAGACGGTAACGTAGCAATTCAATATGCGCTAGGTGGACAGAATTCGATGTCTAGGTGCTAAAACAATTTGGAAATTTCCCAATATCTTGATAAATTGGATGTGCCCTTTGTTCAAGTTCAAGTGCCCTTTGAATTGGCCGCGCTAGACGTTAACGTTGGAAGATCCTCGTGGCTCATTATAGACATGTAAACTAAACAGAACCTAATTTTATGAAATGGCAACTAAAAAGTTTATTTAAAAAAAATAATTCCTATATAGGCTACCAATTGTTTCTGCCGAATATGCCCCAAATTTTCATCCAAAATCGACTTGGAGCTAGATAGATGACAGCCTCAATATTAACACAAAGTTCAGAACATATATTTACATATAATTTTTTCGGATCAGCATGATATTATTATTATTACACAGAACTGAAAGTTACAACAAACTTCTATGAGGGAAGGAAAAGGAAGTCTACTCAAAAAAAAAGTTATTCCCACATCCTCTGCTAACACAGAACGCCAGCAAAGGAGTTATACAAAATAATTATAGGAGAATTATAAAGGAGAATTATACAAAATAATTGAAAATAAATCAGGTAAAAATATTAAATTTATAATTCAACAATATATTATCTTTATTTGTCGGTTATATACAGCGGAAAACAGGTAGAGCTGAAAGCTAAAGACGCAGAAAATAAAACTGGAGGGAACGTTAGACAGAAAGCAAGATAGAAAGTTAGACAGAAAGCAAGATAGAGAGTTAGACAGAAAGCAAGATAGAAAGTTAGACAGAAAGCAAGATAGAGAGTTAGACAGAAAGCAAGATAGAAAGTTAGACAGAAAGCAAGATAGAAAGTTAGACAGAAAGCAAGATAGAAAGTTAGACAGAAAGCAAGATAGAAAGTTAGACAGAAAGCAAGATATGAAGCAAGGTAAAGAAGAAAGCAACTGAGCCATAGCAGAAAGCAAGTCAAATAGAAACCATGGTGTCCTTGACCAGAAGTGAAGCTGTGGATGACTGGACGCACCCCGGGGCCCTTCTCGTTAACCTTTCACTAGTTACTTCCATTCACAGTTAAAAACATGTTCTCGATTCTTATTTAATAGTCCTTACTTAATAGTGCTTGCTGGCAGCCCAGCTGTGTAATCAAGTCGTCTCTGGTGTGCCGTGCTTGCCGGTAGAGTATACAAGAACATGCACGAGTAAATATAATCGCTGAAAAGAAGCCTATTGGCCCCCATACGAAGCAGCTCTTATTTATACCTATAGACTACGATATCCTGAAGTTACTTAACTTGGAATCCCTCCGAATCCACTATAGGAGTGGAGGCATCCATCTGGTGCCAATTAGCCCAAGATTTACAAAGAACCCGCTTCCTAGGAATAACTTTGTCGTCTTATCATGTACTTGTAATTTCAACATTCTCCCTCTGATATCGCTTGACTCTGTTATCATTATCTGGTCTCAGAACCCTTCGTTTTTCAGTATTAAACTGCCTTGAAATTGAAATTGAAATAAGTTTATTGAGGTAAAATACACACAAAGGGATGAGGTAGCTCAAGCTATTCTCACCCCGTTCAGTACATCGTGTTAATACATACATAGACACACATCACAAACAATAAACATATTACCAAACATTCTGAGAGATAAACATCTACATTTCCTATGAACGAACGTGTTTGTTAAAAAAAGGGGTTGTATATAATTTGTTAACAATCTCACATAGTTTCCTCCCTGTTGTTTGCACGTAACCCTTTATATAAATGACTCGGTATATTTTTATAGTAATATATATGTAAATTGGTGAGGAAATGTTAGAAGTTAGAGTAGAGTAGAGTGTATAAAATGTGTTTGTGAATGGTGTGTCAGTGTTGTGGTAGTGCCCATGCAGACGCCTCCACGGCCCAGCCCGTCTCCTGTAGTGCTGCCTCGCCTCACTACGCGGCCATGAAGGTTACAGTCAAGATATTACAGGGCAGCGAGTGCTCCATGGAGGTGAGTCCTCAGCTCCTGGGCTCCTGAAATAGTGCTCGAAGGAGGTGGTGGAAGTGAGTGATGGTGGTTTGTGCTCCCTGCTTTAGTATCTGTGTTTTTTATCTTTTTATTTTTAGCCTATTTCTTGCGGGGGGACCTAAGTAGAGGGTTAATTGGGAGGGGAATTAGGATGATTTTATGAACATATCATTGAGGGGGAGTAAGCTAATTACGAAATTGTTGTGGAGGTGGTTATGTTCTTTTAAGACTGCTAACACCCTGGTGGACCACCACACTCTTAAAGTTACCCAAGTGAACCAGTTAAAATGTTATGGTAGCCAGAATTGTGTATGTCGGTACAGAAATTTACAGAGAAGAATTTAAATGTTCAATTTGAACATTTATCATGTACGGTAGTGAACAACATGTAACACCTGTTTGCTGTTAGCCTGAAATTGGTTCTACTGTATTTATGATTTGTCTTATTTATCCTAACGTTGTACATCATAACTGATATTCTGCCAATTGGTTTAACTTCTGAAAAAAGTTAGTGACAGGAATAATAACTTTAAAACGGGTGTACTGTGGTATGGCGAGTTGGTTCACTCTCGGCTCTAGCTGCTTGACCTTCCTCGTATTGTTGTGTTCGTAGTTTTACTGTGTATTTCGCTTTTTAGGTACGTCTCAACCTTGCATGTTCACTGTTACATACGGTAGATAAGAAAATTCATAGCATCGCCTGGGATTTTGATCTGATGCGTTTCAAATGGGTTTCACAAATTGTTTAAAAGCCAGTAAAAATGTTAATGATATCCAATTAATTGCAATATAAACCATTAGGATGTTTTCTCCAATTTAATGATTGTGAATGTTAGGTACAGGTCCTTAGATCATTCATTAAGACTGGTATGTGCAGGGTCTGTGTAGAGGTCATTCATTAGGGCTGGTAGGTGCAAGGCCTTTGTGGAGATCATTCATTACGGCTATCACGTTGCATATCAGACACATCTTTGTTTTAGTTTTGGGGCTTCTGCACTCTGTTAAGCTTAGTTTAGGTTTAATGGTTTAATTGGATTGTGCATGGCCAACTCGAAGCTATTTTTCACAACTGAAAATTGGATTTTATCTATTGAATGGTTCAGCAAATTCCGAAGTATTTACTCTAGGATTACTGCCTTTGAAGTAATATATTCACTCATAACATTATCAATCCAACCAATTTATTGCTAGGTGAATAGGTGTTTTGTGTGAAAGGAAAATATCCTTCCTGGGAATGGAACTGTGATTCATTTGGGTGTGAGCTGACTGCATTAACAACTGTTACATGTGTCTTTGATTCCAAATGCTGTATTGCTTGGAGCTAGGTTTTTGGATGTAAAAGAATGTACTTTATGATGATCCTTCAGGGCTAATCATAGGTTTCTTTTAAATCTATCCCTTCTCGTACATAGAGTATACAATCCAATCTGTTCTCGACACCTTTTACAATGTTTCTCAATAATGCAAGTTGGTAACCCATTTTATTCATTTACAACTCTTACTAAACCAATCCTGTACCTGAATTTACCTGAGGGGCCACTCTCTCTAGTGGTCTTGATGGGAACAGGAAACTGGTGGCTTGTCTGAGGTCTTCCATCCTGAGGATTTTTTCCAACTGGATTTTGAACTGGAGAAATGTCCTGGCATTTGTGGCTTTGTAGGTTAAAGGGTTCCATGGGTTTATAACCCTATGGGCTGAAAGCATCTCCTGTTTTGTGTCCTACATTGTGGCATTGTAGCTATTGCAGTATCCCCATCACATTTGGTATGCAGTGTTTTTAATCCTGTGGCCCTTGGCCATTTATAGTATGAGAGTTGACTTAGTTCTGGGATGATTTTTGTTGCTCAGTGTTGAACTTTCTCCAAAGCGAATATCTTTTGAAAGAGAGGTTTCCATGCTTGTATACAGTATTCCTGATGAGGGTGCACTAGAGACTTGTACAGTTGAAGAACCACTTTCTTTCCTTGAAGTCAAAGGGAATAGCTAGCTTTAGGTTTAGTCTTCATATCTTAAGCCATGTTATTGTGACTCATTATCTGCATACAATACAGTTATAACTTGAGTATATTTTCTTGTTTAAGACAAAAGTTCACTTGCCAATCTACAAGTAGACTATTATTGAAACTGTAATGTGCTTTCAGACCATCACAAATATGTAGATAACTATCCAGGTGGTGTGAGAAGGGATTTGGTGTCTGTGTGAGAATGGGGTTGGTGTCTTGGCATAATCATTTTATCCTGAAAATGGGCTGTTTTCTGTTGGATTGTAGTGTTATTGATTTGATAGTTAAGATCACTATTTTGCCCTAATGCAAGATCTTACATTTGTCAATATCGAAAAGCATTTGCCAATTTTCTGACAATTAGTGAAAATCTACATGGTTTCTTTGCATGGCCTTAATTTCATTTGTCTGAAAATTTGATTGTGGATCATATTATTTTCATGTCATTAATGTATATTACAAAATTGGTTGGCACCGTGGTGAACACAGTCAAACTAAAATTCTATACTGTAGTTTGTTTGCATTGTTAGTTTAATGCATTACATTCACTTGGAGCCATGGAACAGCTTTTAAAAAATAAGGTTTAGAAGTCAAGCATTGGAAAATATTATGATAATGATGAAATCTCTGTATAGTTAGTTTCTTCTAGTAGATATCCATAGTATAACATTTTAAAATTTATATTTTTTGTTAAATTCACTCCTAAAATTAATTAGCTCTTCTTAAAGTTAAGTAATACTGTAATTACACTACAGCTTTCTCCTTTTCCTTAAATTATTATCTTTTCAATTTGCCTTGCAGGCGGCTTTAAGTGCATTGTTTGTATACAATTTTGTAAATGTGTTCTATCTCTTGTGCTATTATTTAACCCTCCCACCTCCCCTTCCTCATGAAGCCTTGTCACTGGCTATACAAATAGAACGCTAACAAATGAAGTTTGACTCGTATAATTTGCATAATCATGGTTGCATTTAGGCCTACCTTAACAATTTTCTTCCTGGTTATACAGGAATGTAACCCCTTGGCCAGTTAAGGGCCACCTGCATAGCATTACATTTTAATAGCATAGCATAGTATTTTAATTTTAATAGTACAGTTGGGTTCATATGTCCAATATTTGTCAAAATAATTGTTGATGATTTATTTGAAATTGTTGTATGCAATACACTGGTGATTCTTTCTAGTAAGGTCTCAGTACTACAGTTGGGTTCATTCTTGACTCCCAATCGGGAATCCTGGGTTCAAATCCTAGGGAGCACAAAAATGGTTGGGCGTATCGCCTAATTAGTGGCTTTAGGTATTTGAATGTACTAGCTCTGTCTATAAATAATCTGAATGTTTGTAACTCTGCATCTATTTAAGTACTTTTCCTAAATAAAATATTATTATTATTATTAATGCCTCTTGTTTATTCAGCAGTAAATAGGTACCCGAGAGTTAGCTGTTGTGGGACTGCATCCTGGGGAAGTCGGTAATTTGTACAGTATATACATACATACACAAGCTACTTGTTCCCAACAGAAATGAAGTATAAATTATTAATTTGTATTGATTTTTCAGGTTCCTGGGAGTTCAAAAATTTCGGAGGTTAAAAATATTGTAGAAGAATTCCTAGAGATTGCACCCCATGCACAGCGACTTGTCTATAAAGGAAAGACTTTAGCAGGTGTGTTGTAAATGTTATAGAATTTTGTTTAGCCCCAGTGTAGTAAAGCATTGAATATATGATTGTTATTTTTGTCTTGTTTTAGTCTGCAAATTAACATTTCATACTGAACATGCTAGTTCCAACGGTGTTTGTTTATTAATGTTAGCATCAGCTGTACCAAAGTCACCATGGGAAACCTGCAAATTACTGATGTGTGATATCATGGGACAAGGTAAGCTTTTTCCTTAAAATCTCTTCAAACACTAATGTTGCTGTGATTTACACACAGTAAATATATAATAGTTATAGGGTTTATTGTATACTTCGTACAATATCTTTCACTTCAATATGTTATAATTTTACTGTGCAGGGCTTGGAATCTGACTCTTCAGTAATTTTCCAAGTGTGTATCATGAGATATCTCTTAGAGATCAAGAGATAGAAGATAGAAGTGGTCTCTGTAGTTTAAAGGACTAATCAATTCTGTGTAGGGGCCCCAAAAGGGCCAGATCATTTACCCCTGAGTGCATGGAACGGACTGAACAGCGAAGAGTGTTAAGAGGCTCTGAGAGTCTTCAGATTAAGGATTGATCCAATTGAATAACAAGATACTCAAAAGGGTCTGTTCACATGCCCATGTCGTCTGCCAATGGGAAACTTGTAGGTACTAGCCTAAATACTAAACAAAAAGATTGCCCGCCACTTCTTGCCCTCAGGATGCCGTCACTGCTGCAGGATAGGCAAGTTCAGCAGTCTGGAATTACTTCAAAGGCCATGTCTTGACCATTTTACCAAAGTGTGGTGGCTTGGGTAAGTATTTAATGTACTGTATAATTAATGAAACTGGCTAGGACTTTGGGTTTAGGTCACTTAAGTATCCATATTATATAACAGACTGACCTCTCAAAGAATTGGCTGGTAAGGTTGCCCAATGTAGAGTATCTTGGGATGACTAGCTTGAGGTAGACCACAGATGGATAATAAAAGTACCTCTACTCACATTGTGCTCTACGTGTAATATCAAACTTTTCTATCCATCTGCAAATGTTGCAAACAACTTTCTATTGCTCATATAGCTTCAGATTCTTGTATCTTTGACAGATGAAACGACACTTGATGAGGCTGGAATTACCGATGGAGCCAAGATTCACCTAATGGTAAAGAAAGGGGATATTACTTCTCCGTCAAGTGCAGCAAGCTCCTCAAAGAAACTAGAGTCGCCATCGGCTATGGACTTCTTTGCTCAATTAGATTCATTTCTTAGTAAACATTTAACTCGAGAACAAACCACAAAAGTGGTCAGCGAATTTAGAAAGGTTAATAAGTATTTGTTTGTGGTTCACCCATTTGAACATTATCTTCATTCAATACCTTTTAATTTTTCAGTAAATTTTAGCAACATCCTTTTTTTCTGGGAGTTTTTCCTCAGTAGCTCATCATAAGTGGTTTAAGTTTTAAGGGCTTAAGTGGACCAGCCCTTAAGATTAAGGACCAATGTACCAGGTTTCAGAAACCCACTCTTGCTTATGGGAAGCTGGCGACTAGAAACTGCCCCTCTACTAGATGAGGGGAGCTGGGGGCTAACAGATCAATTTAAAACCAAGAAAAGACTAGAAAGCACAAGCACAACAAGACTGGCAACTGCTTTATTAAAATTAGGTACAGTACCCCAGAAGTAATAAGGCATAGAATCATTGCTGTAAGTAAACACCTTAATATATGCCTGATTGCCTCCAGGTGGCAGCCCATGTCACCTGAGGCTTCAGCCAACCTATCCCCTCACGAGCTACCCTAGTCAGACTCTCTCACACAGGAAAGAAGGAAATATGGTGGACTGGTAGCTACCAAGAGCCCCCTAGAAAATGGCATTTCATTAAATTAAATTTATTTGTTTAAGGGCCTTGTTGGCAGCAACTTGAAATTAGGTTGCAACAGTGCCATAACAAAGGAGGCCAGCATTTCTGGAATAGAACAAAGATGAAAACAGAAAAATGTTACCAGGGCCTTCCTATAGAAGATGGTGGCAGCAGGAGATGAGTTCTCCTGCCACCATGGCAGAATCATGGGTTACATTGATGTGTTACAATGGTATAACAATACAGTACTGTGCTAACAGTATGTGTACACTGATTATTCAAATTACGTTATTTATCTATACCCTTTGTAGTATTATCAACCCTTGCGAACAGTTACAAGGTGAAAGTGTGGTATGAATATAGAAAAATCATGTTAGAGTATTGTGGTAGAAATAAATTATTTAATAAGCATGTGTCAGACTAGTGAGGTAAGGAATGACGATATCTAGGAGAGGGAGAGTGCAAGAGAAAAAAAAGTGGAAGGATGTACCGAGATGGTTTAAATGTGTTGAGCGAATGAATGATGGTAGACTAGTAAAGAATGTATTGGCGTAAATTTAGGGACTACCAGTTGTTGCCTGGGAAGGAGGTCGGAGAGGACATTTTAAAGAAGGGATGGGGGTTATGAGAGAAGGTAGGGAGCCGGTGTGAATACTTGTGGCTATGGTAAAAAACAAGGCTGAGTGAAAGTGACTTGTATGGAAAGAAATTTTACATGTAAAAGAAAGAAGAATGAAACCTATTTTACTGTATGACAATTCGCAAAAAGTGCTGGTGATCACAAACCAGGAGGCCTGGTTAGGGACCGGACGGCGTGGTCTTGAATCCCTAGAGCCATCACACGGTAGATCTTGTTTGTGATACAGTAGGTTGTTACTGGATTGTGATGGTACTTGCTAAGCTATGATATTAGTGTGATAATTTTTTAATATCTATAACATTCTTCCTTTATATTATTTGCTTATTTTTGTCCAGACTGGTGTCCCTCACACTCACTAAAGTCAGAAACAAGGTCATGATAATGTGTGCATGTACATTATATATAAAGACTGGTTTTGAAATTAAAGGAACATATGAGGAAAATTAAATAAGTCCAGATCTGAACAAAAGTTAACTAACCACCACATTGCCTCTTTAACAATGTACTGTACAGTACTGTATATAAATTCCTATACTGTATATAATACAGTACTTAAGAGTATTAAGTTTGTGTACATTTTTTTTTAATAGAATCATCTTCAGTAATGGAAGTGTTGTTTTGTATAATTAATTAGAATATAGGGAATTTTCTTTTTAAAGGTAAAGGCTGGATGTGGTGTTTGGTTGAAATACTCGTGTGTGATTGAGAAGAGGAATTTTGTGGAAGAGAAAATTTAAGATCTAAGTGTCAGAGATAGGAAGCGGTTGGTGCAGTGACAGCCCTAATTAGAAAAACTTAAGAGGATGAACAGCAGCCATAGGGATGCCTGTATGTACACATGTAAGATGGTGTTTTATGTGTAAAATAAATGGTGCAGTGAACATGGACTCTGAGAAGCATGTGTGTGGTATTAAATGAATAGTGTAGGGAATGAAAATGTCGTAGAATGATAGTGCAGAAGCCAATCGGTTATTTGATTGAAGTTACTGTGATGTCATAGGCATATTGAGTGAATTGATGATAGACCGGTGAAGGGGTTTTATTAGGAAAGTTAAAGGTTGGAGAAGAGAAATACCGGGAAGATGTGTGTCAGGGTTTTTTAAGAGGGCGTGAATGTGTTAGTATATGGCAACTTGAAAGGAATATTACATCTAGCTTTATGAAATAATAGGCGAGAGCTGATGTGTGGTGAAGCCTGGCTATCGGTGATATTATATGATGTGGTTGATGCAGTGACGGACGGTGCTATTTTGTAATACAGTATCTATGACACTTTTATGCTCTAATCGCTCACCTTTTTTTCTCTGGGCTGTTGCTTTCCCTACCACATGAATTCAGATAATTTTGATTATGTTGAAGAAACTGAAATGATAAATTTTATTACTGTGTGGAGCCAGATTATGTAGAAATAATCCATGTAGAATTTGGACTGCTGTACAGTGGTACCTCGGTTTACGAACGCCCCTGTTTGCGAACTTTTCAAGTTACGAGCCCGATTTGTCGGAAAATTTGAATCGGGTTACGAACTTTACCTCGGGATACAAGTTTGTTGATACTTGTACCGCCGACCTAGTGCATAGTGGCACGGCGATCACGCCTAAGTTTACCAGTGCCTCGCGCCCAGTGACTATCCCGCCTGAATTCTTCACAAGGATTTTTATTTATTTATTTATTTTTTTTTGAGCATGAGTTATTATATATCTCGCCATGGGTCCCAAGAAAGCCAGTGGCAAGGTTCAAGGCAAGAAATCACATGTGAAAATGACCATAGAGGAAAAACAAGAGATCATTCATAAGCATGAAAATGGTATACGTGTTGTTGAACACGTGTTGGCAGTACAACAAATCTTCAGGGGAAGAGGAGGCAGTAGAGGATGTCCCTTCCTCGTTAATTAAGAAAATGTGTGCAGTATGGGAAGAACTGCAAAGTTTTGCTGAAAAGAATCGCCCAGCTAAAGCTTTAGCAGGCCGTTGCATTGATTTTATTAATGACAATGTGATGTCTTGCTACAGACAAGTGTTACAAAGAAGGGAAAAACAATCTTCAAGAAAAACAATGAAAAAATCATGCAGTGAGCCAGAAGCAGGACCTAGTGGTATGCAGGCAAAACGTGCCAGTGTGCACCCCCCAGAAAAGTCCTCACTGCCTGATGTTATAATGGAAGGGGACTCCCCTTCCAAACAGTAACACCTCTTCTCCCCCCCCCCCCCCCCCCTCCTCACTGTCTTCCATATGCCAACAGGAGTCTTCATTAAAGGTAAGTAATAACTTGTACATACTTTTGCAGTGAAGATTTGGGTGAATTAGGTATAAAATTTACTCTGAAGTTAATTTTTTGGGGAGTCGGGAACGGATTAATTAATTTCCCATTATTTCTTGTGGGGAAATTTGCTTCGGTTTATGAACCATCTCCAGGAACGGATTAAATTCGTAAACCGAGGTACCTCTGTATTTGTAGAAATACAATGACTTATAATTAGCTTTATTTAATGTATACACATTTGCCACATTTGTACCATAATTTGGGAAAGTGATAGTCTTAATTGTTATAGTTATTCAAATACAAATGGTTTTGTCTTGCTATAATCTGTTCATTGATTAATATATTGATTTGTAGAAATGGTCAATAGCCAAAATATGATCTGATCATAGAAAGGGTTATTTGACAGATTGGGTATAAATAAAGAGCAGTACAATATTGTAATTTAATTTACTGTAAAGTTAAAACTTAGTAATTTTTATTCTTCAGAATTGCCAGTTGATGGTGGACAGTATGAATTTCGATGATATCGAGAGATTTGCAGCAAGCAACTTTACCGAGTTTTAAAGGTATATGCACTGCAGATTGGTTTTTTATGAGATCGTACATAACGGATTAAAAAATGGCGATAAATGATGACTGAAAATTGAAGTGAGTTGTAGCAAGACTGGCTGTGTGAGTGAATATAATAATCACATGACAATAAGATGAGCATGTGAAGTCTGACATAAAGAAGCAACACTGATAATATGGAATTGTAAGTGTTTAATCAATTTATCATTTATGTTTGCAAAATTTTGAAGATGGAGATACAGTATATGCCAATATGAAATATTTTAAAAGCTGAGAATTGGTAACATTCTTTTTTTATTTCCTTGTATGCAGAGACCAATAATTTTTTTTATTCCATGTGCATCCTTACTCGTAGGTCTGGCTGCAAATGGTTGTGTGTCGGTGTGTGCCTGCATGTGTATGCATGAGTGTCCATGTGCGTGTGGTTGTGCATTTTGTTATACCATAACTTTTCTCTGATATTATCTAATGTAAAAATATGGGAAATGAAAACTTTTACTTTGTAAATCCTGTAAATGGAAGATTGACCATTTATGGTCACACTTTCTTGCATAGTTTCAAAGAGTCTTTAGGTCTTTGGAATAACCAACCAACTCTGCAACCAACACTAGTACAAATTTACGGGAGATTAGTTGTGTTTTTGTGCACGTGTTACTAGATAGCCGAGAATTTTTCCTGACTTTTGACTATCGTATACCTTTATACTGTGTCGTTATAGATTCTTTAGCCCTAGTTGATGTAATTTGTACATTTATTTGCTAGTAAAGTGATAAACATTTGTTATGTATGTCTGATGTCAGATGGAATTAAGCCATTGTATAAATTATTATTTTGGGTAATGGTGGTTTCTTATTTTTTGTATCTTGAAAAAATTATCGACCGAGTGATTATCTGTGCTATTATATTCATTAAAAAAAAAGGTCAGTACTAGATAGAATGATGTGTATAAATACAAATATACCATCCCCATTCTCCTGTTTAGATAGCATTTGTAACTGTGCACTATAGTACAAAGATTGTCATTCTAAGCAATTAGATAGAACTTGTACTATTCACTTTATATTTTGGGAAAAAATTAAGCTAAAAAGACTAAATATTCCTAGGCACAGATATGTACTATATTCAGCCTCGGATATCGTGTATTAGGCCTAGGAAGGTTAGATTAGTTTAATTTGTCTTTGCCACAGAACTAGAAGGTAGTTTTCCGGTTTGTCAAACTCAATAGTGCAGATTTCTAATTTCGTTGTAAATTGGTATATGTACTATGGTCCTCAGTGTTACTATAAGTACTACCAAAACAGGAGGATGGGCTGAAATATACAGTATAATGTAATGCTTTGTTTTATATATATAGAATCATGTGTATTTGCCATATAATAGATTGATACATAAAGCTAATTGGAATTTTGAGAATACTGTATATAAATGAGTTATAATAAGCTATTTTCTCACTTGCTGCATAAGTAAGTTGTAAAATTTGACAATTGTAGTGATAAATTTAATTGTAAGACTATTCCATTAAACTGTTGACCCAGATGAGCCATTTACATTGATACTCTTAAACACTGTTTTTGGGAGAATGTGAGGTAAATTAAAAATGTATAGTGTAATTTTCACCAAAGTTTCTAGATTTAAACAAAATTTTGTTGACACAGTTTTGTCCCTATGAACCATTCTAACTCGATAAAGCAAGAGATTTTTAAATACTTGTGCTTTCGATATATGTAGGCAAAATCTTCATAAATTTAACCTTGGTAAATTAATCATTCCTCATTGTGATTAGCATTGGGAACTTTGCTTGTAGGGTTTTGTTATTTTGTTCAGTGAACTACTTTGATTTTTGTTATTATTACATTGTAAATATTGGTGGTGGTTTGAATAAGTACTGTAAATGTTTTTCTCATGAGGAGGTTTATACAGTATCTAAGATGGTCAACAAACTTCTTTCAATGAGTTGATAACACGAAATGCTTCTATGCAGCTGTCATAATGCAGTCTATTAGTTTTCCTTCACATGATGCATTATCATCCTGAGTGATTGGCCCTTATGCATATCCTGCAACACAGAGGGTACTAAATACTCTTCCAGCTTGGTGCCTTCATTTAATGATTACTTACTTCCTTTGCATGATCATAAGCCATATCCCATTTGTAATCCTCCTCTTTACCATTCCTTCTTGTCTAGTCATCACTTGAAACCCTTGTACATTTTGCAATTAAGTCAGCTGAAGAGCAGGGTTGATAAGTTGGATCATTGTCATATGACTAGTACATACAGGACTCGTCTTTGGGTTCTGTTGTGCACTGGTCTGTGCAGTTGGGTCACAGCCAGAAGGTTCCAGGTTCAGTTCCTGCCACAGGACTGATGTTTGGGTACAGGTTTTTTTTCACCTAGTGACTATGTTCACCTAACATTAAATAGATACCTGGGAGTTAGGCACCTGTTGTGGGTTGCATTCTAGTGAAGGTCAGTAATTATCCTTGGGGAAAGTCGTTACTATGGCAAAACTATAACCTACCTTTTTCCAGCATCTTGCACTTGCCGTACACATCTTCATTATTAATTCCTCAACTAGTTTTGCCACATGAGTTTCATAAACAATAACATGAGTTTCAAGTTGTATAAAGTGGACATGTTTTCTGCTCCCACATAAGACATTGTAAGATCCTAAATGATCTTTTAAACACTTTGGAATTGTATCCAACTTGCATAATGTTATAAGCTACAGTATAGCCATACTGGCTTAGGGCTACCTTTTGATGTTTGCTTGTATACTTTTGTATCGTTAATAGTTTTTCTAATCTTTCAAAATGCTTCCTATATTTTGTCTATCAATTTTAATCTTGAAATCACATGTCTTGTGTCTTTCTACTCTTGTCTATCTATGAACTTGAGTATATTGTTACGCAGGTAACCATATTCTTGGTGATGACCAAACCACACTTCAGAAAATAGAGAAGTAACAAAGTTTCGGTCTGTCCTGGACCATTATAAAGTTGTCCACACAACTTGATAATGGCACAAGATGAACTGAAACATCATTTCTCCATTTTTTTGTGTGTGGTTTGGTCATTATATCTTCATCATGTTATTGTGACTCGTCGTCTGCATAGTGCTTGGTGCTTTTTTTCGACAATTACTCTCATACCCCACATATCAATTTATTCTGTAGTGCCAAGCAAAATCCACCACTTAATTTGACCTACCGGTATGAACCCCATCACATTACTCTTAATCAACACAGTTTATCATTTTTAATAAATTTTCTTTCATTATACATTTGAATTGGTTAGGAATAGTTGAGGTATTGAGCACATTCAAAAGGGGTTAATAAAACATGATGCTAATTAAGACACTAACAGTGATAATTTTGTAATCTATGTTACCACCTCTTGATAATTACTTACTTGTAGACCTATGATGAAATGCTATCAACTCGTGTTGTTTTATCGTGGGTCTAAAAAAAGGTACGTTTACCGTTGCATATTAAATAAATAATAAATAAATATGTTTATTCAGGTAAGGTACATACATACATACAAGTGATGTTACATTAATGGATTGATATATAGATAGAGCTAGTACATACAATGCCTAAAGCCACTATTACGCAATGCGTTTCGGGCAAGTTGTTGTTTATTATTCTATCATAACAGTAGTGAGTGCAAACTGTTTTTTGTTAGATATACATATGAGAGTTTGTAGTGTGAAGAATTGCACAAAATTTACATAAGGATGTGCGTGTGTTGCATCAGGTGTAAAGAACTTATTTGGTTTGACCAAAAAGCCCCACAAAACTTGAAAAGTGTGTGCTGCTTCTATATTTTTCTTACCTTTAAGAAGAGGTGTGTGTATAGGCATTAAAATAGGCCATCAGTCTAAAGAGTCAGTTGTTAGGTCTATGCTATGCAGAATTACTGATTCATGTTTTGTATTGGTTATTTTTTCACATAGATACATTTTCTAACAGTTTTTTCTAGTGAAACTTGGCTGCAAGAAACGTACATTTGAGAGGCTTGTATGAGTTTTTTGTTTGAAAGTTTTTATTCTGTGTATCACTGCAGGGCAATTCTTAGGATTTTCTAAGGCCTTTGAATGTAATGTTTGTCATTTAAGATTTTTTATACTGAATTATTTTCCAGTGTTATGCAGTTTTAAATCTCTTTGAAACAAACACAAACACAATATCCCAGTTCAAAGTTGAACTGGGAAATTCATGCATAAAAATCAATTTTAATTAATAAAGAGTATATAAATTATTTGATTTTTAAATTTTAAATTAATCGCGAGAAATCACTTCTCATATGGTTGGTAAATTTAGCTTGAGCAAATCTCTTCCCATGAGTTAGGGATGTTTGATCAGAATTTGATGAGACAAACAACATTCAACTCTTACAGTTGAAACCAAGCTATTTTTCTTGGAACACGGTTTGGTGCCTTCTTTTGATAATTACTTTCTGGGAACATCGGCTTTGGCCATCTCTTGACTGTATTTTGTCAACATATAATACCTATATAATACACAGGTGAAATGAATTAAACTCTACAAATGATAGTACTATAATAGGCATCTTGTACAGTAGGCCATTGTATAGCATGCATTTATATAGTACAGTACATTTTTGACACAAGTTTCCATTTCGACCAAAACTTTAATTACCTCAATATCTCGTGTGTGTGTGTACTTGCCAAGTTGTGCTTGTGGGGGGGTTAAGCTTTAGCTTTTTGGTCTGGCCTGTATGTGCGTGGAATGTATATAGGTAGTGGATAAAGGGGTATATCTGTAGCAGAAGACGGTGAAAGGAGAGACCTAGAGAGTAGCAGGATGTTACCAGTGGCATCCCACAAGGGTCAATATTTGGACCAATTCTATTCCTTAGCTATACTGTATGATTTATCTGGCAGAGGGGATAGATTTCTTTGTCAGTGTTCACTAATGATGCTAAATTTTTTAGGGGTATAAATACAGTGGAAAACCAAGAAATTACTTACTTACTTGGTCAAAATAAAAGTATGGTTCCTCAAGTGGCTACTGGAGTTCAACGTAGGCAAGGAACAGGTTGGAGGATATGAGCTATTGCACGGGAGAATTCCTCTCGGAATCAGACACTCAAGAGGTTCATATAGTATTATGTCGAACCTGTCTGCAGAAGCCCACAAGAAAAGAACTTGAGCTGCTTCATACAGAAGATAGACTAATAAAATAACTGCCTTTAAGAGAGTACTGCAAGCAGTTATCAAAAGCGCTATGGCAGTATTTCTATATACTGTAGTGTTGTCTCACATAATATTTAAGATACCAATACAAGAGCAGAATGATGCAAGATGATTAGTGAAATCAGACAAAGACACTTTTTCGAAAGGCATGTGTCATATAGAAAAAATGGGAAAGCAAAATTTATGATCATTCTGGAAATTGGGACATTCAATTAAAAGATCAATTACTATGGAACAAAGCAATTTTGACATGCAGGTCTCTGTTCCACACAAAGTGCCCACAAGTTAATTAAATTTCGTACTATATGTGGCTATCCTATACAATACTGTACTGGTTTAATAGGATGTCAATGTTTTTGTTTTGTTTAACCTTAACTATTGATTTAATTTCAGGCATCATTCAAAGTCTGGTTATGCAAGTTGCTGATGTAATACATTATTCGTGTTCAAGTGCACCAGACCCAATCTTTCTGTTCGAAACTCCACTCGGTTAAGATAAAGATTTCCAACATCCACAAGTAATTTTCTTTATAATAATGTATCTGATATTTTTGGTACTTGCATAATTTACATAAAGGTTATCTTACATAAAAAGATATTAAATTAATAAAGGTAATTTACATAAAAGGTAAAATAAGTAATTATCAGAAGGCAACACCAAACCGGGAAGGCTATGTAGCACCATCAAATGCGCGGAATAATCAGAGGGCACTAAATATCACCAAGGATGCCAATACGAGAACAGAAACGCATAAGGCGAACGATATCAAAAGTATCCAATTCACCAAGAATTCTATCACATAACAGGTAATTAAAGGACATAAGGTTAATTTTGTCTTATACAATCCAACCTGATGTGGTGATATTTGGTATCTGGCTTTTGAAAGCTGTTGAACATTCGTTATTGTATCCAGCTTTAGATAATAGCTAAGTGTTCAATATCTGGCACATCTCCGCTACCATAATATAGTACTGTAGTAATAATTACAGTCTGGCAATAATTGCAATAGAATGATACGTTGGCACCAAGGATGACATGCCTCTCACTAAGGCATTGGGTCTGGCAAGCCAATTACCCTGTAATTATCAACCAGGCTGTGACTCGTACGTCATTCTGCGAGCAGCCGCGTCTAACAGCCTGGTTGATCAGTCCAGCAACCAGGAGGCCTGGTCGACGACCGGGCCGCGGGGACGCTAAGCCCCGGAAGCACCTCAAGGTAACCCTAAACAAACTCCATATCCCAAAAATGGTACTGTATACCACTTTAATTTATTCTAAAAGGACATTATATTTTTATGGGGTGGGGGGATATACAGTATATAAATATTAAGAAGTATTGACCTTAAACAATACAGTACCTGTATACAGTACCTGTATACAGTACAGTACTCTTAATCACGCTGGAATTGATCACACTAATTATCTGTAAGCTGTGCGACAAGACTGGGGCTGTTTTAAAGGTACCACACAAGATTTCAAAGCCTCTCATTTACACAGGGAGGGCTCGATATCTGCTTCCTCAGGCCTCTTAGGACAAAAAAAAAAATATTGTGGGCACTCCTCTTTGGTGAGTGCCTTTGTCTCATTTAAATTTACAAAGTCACTACTTAGTGGCCTTTTTTCTTACAGAGGGCAACCATGAGCAGTGCATGCAGTAGCCATACCTGATGCACAGCACAGCCATGCAGCATGTACCCACCGCATCACATAATAATGAAGAAATAAATAAGTGACTGCGATTATTTACCGATGATAGTACCAGAGAAGATCCTGTTATAAAAACTATGTACATAGTTCAGATTCAATTCAATGTACCCAATTCTGGTTACAATGTTCCATTTTGTGATGTATAGATGAACTAAAATACAACTGTGCTGTGGATATCTGCCTCGAGCTATGAACATCGTCACCAGCATCGGGTAATCTGATATTTGAACCGTGTGCATAGTCTTTATCATTGTCAGGGTACTGTAAGTCACTATCATCAATAAATGATTGCAGTTACTTAATGATGATGAAATCAGTGATGCTGTGGCCGTGAGCTGAGCTGCTGCATGGGATACTTATAGTTGCTTACTCACTACTGAGGCCCTCACACCCAGAAGGGGTGTCTATAATTTTTTTGAGGATGGCATCTGTTTACTGGAGGCCTGAGGAAGCAGATGAGAGTTTGGTGTACCTGCAGGAGTTTTAAATCTTGTGTAGTACTTTAAAACATAGATCATTCTCGCACAGGGCGATCATACACGACAAGAACATTCCTCAATGTTACGTGCATTTGAGGGGTTAACGTATTAATAATAATATTAACAAATGTAGGAAGCATTACTGTGTAATCTACAAATCTGTTTGTGGTTTACTCACCTGAGGTAAACATTTTGTAAGTGTCAATGATTCAATACAAAGTTCAGTTTAGGAAATCTTACTATAAATCTATACTCCAACTTTGAAATCTTGTACTGCTGGCAGTCTTTATCATTTATTGCAGAAACTGCATAATGAGAAAATTGTCTAAACCATTTAAGTTGTACTCATTGGAAATACACAGCTATACATTCTTCAGTCATCTGTTTCCGAATCCCTTGCCAGTATACCGTGTTGGTCCAAGATTTCTAGCTCTGGTTCAGTTTTGAGTGTAATGCGATGGTGTGGGTCGTCCATTGCAGCCAGAGTCGAAGTTTGCTCAGAGAGGGGGGAGTGTGGCGCGTCGTGAGGCATGTCGAGCTCCTCCCCCAGTTCTTCCCCACTCATCACTTCAGTGCTCATGGACACCGATGAGGAATTGCTAATCAAAATGCTCTTCTCGCTCTGAAAACAGTACATAGGTTTTAACAAATTCAATAAACAAATTTTTTTTTTTTAGATTGCCACAACTCCCAGAGCAGCATTATTTGTTCTCATTCCAATGACTTGAGATTTTAAGAATACAATATCATAATTTTTATCACGTTAAAATAGTTAGCATGAATAAAATAATATAATTGCGATGCTGTATAAACAAAATTTAGGAAGAAAACACATTGGAAAAATCTAATTAATATTGTACTAGGAGTACCTGACTCGTGCCCAGGGTCTCTCATCTCTTTCACACCTTTCTTTCCTACCCTTTACCACCTTCCCTATCATTCACCAACTTGCCTACCTTTATTCAAAGTTTACAAAACACTATCATTGGTGAAATAATGTAACAAGAACTTTAATTAAATAGGAATTAATTATTACTGTTATATATGTGTACAGTATAAGTGAATAACAACAATACTAACAATAAAAACGGATGGTAGAAGCAAAAACTCGTACGTACAGCATTTAGAGTCAAACAACAAGTTTTCTCCAAGTGCTCTTTATTCTCTTCTCCAAGGCTATGGGTCCCTACAATTGCACCAAAGGTGGTTCCCATTTATTTATTTATATATATAAATGGGTACCATTGGTGCAATAGTAGGGACCCATAACCTCAGAGAAGGGAATAAAGAGTACTAAGAGAAAAACTTGTTGACTCTAAATATGTACGAGTATTTGCTTCTCCTATCACCCCTTATTATTATTATTATTATTATCGTCGTTATTCATTTTTATATAAGTGTATAACCATAATATTTAATTCCTATTGAATTAAAGCATTCTTACTACATTATTTTACCAATGATAAAGTGTTTTATCCTCAAAGTGTAAGCTTTGAGGATTTTATATGCCACTCTACCTTTATTGACAAAAATATACTTCTGCACATATTTAATACAGAGTTCCTTTAACCAATAATAAAATGTTGAACACTGACCATCCTTTTAATATGACACAATTATCATTACCAAGGCTAGTACCACCAGTATGGCTTGTCATTCACAAGTGACACTACATACATGTTGATGGACACTTGACTCTTAAAATGGAAAGAGATACAAAAAAAACCTGTGACCACAGGATTTTAGTTCAAGTGGTCTATAGGTATGGCATGAAGTTAATAGTATATAAAACAAAACTAAGTAATAAATCTATGCCAACAATGTATAAAAATGCTTTATTCTTGTGTGTAGGTGCAAATGAAACTACTTCAGATCTAAGATCAAATCACATACTGTACCAGCAAACGAAAATATATTGCCATATCTACCGAAGACTGGGTGAGAATCTGCTCTTCTGAAAGAATGATTTCCTGGGTATCTTGTAGCTGAGAAATCTGCTCTGGTGTGGCACTCAGTATTCGAAGTTCACAAGTTGGAGACTGGGTTATTACCTAAACAAGATCAATATAGTCACTATCAAGTTTAAAACCCAATGAGGTAATGAATAAAAATAAATTGTCATATCAATGTTTCATACATTATGACTTGTGTATTTAAACAAAATGCTTTAGTGACTGTTTTCATATAAAGATTCAGTTTTTGTATGCTAAAACAAATTATCATCGCTGAAAGACACGATTTAGACGATAACATTGAGAATCACTAGCTTAATCGCAATGGAAGAGATCCAGTCCCAGCTAGTCTAAATAACCAGCACTCCACTGTATTGATTAGGACAGATATGGCTCAATCACATGTGACGACTGAAAAAGATACCCCCTGGGTCATCTTGGATATCCCTGGGTCATATCTTGCAATACAAACAGAGTAGTTTAAAAGAGTAGTGTGATTACTACTACAATAGACTCTCATATATTTAGGGTGGAAGAGGAGCTACCAGTGTATATTTGTAATGCTGGTAATTAATGGGGGCAGAGGTGTACAGTATTTCAGGTTACTGATACTGTAGCAGGTCTACGGTGGAGGTGACTGCCGGCCAGAATGCTCTCATTCAAATTTATTATGAATTCCACACGAGGCATACTTTAAATAAATTTCCACAATACTATATTGTACAATATCTTATATTATGCTACTGTATATTGAACCACTACCCACATTCACTCCATAAAAAAAATAAACCACGATTTATAGTTTTCTCATTTGACATCCCAACTTGCAATAAATTTTGCAATTCATGACATCGTGTTTCAAGTAATTCATGGTGGTGCCTCTTGTCAGCCATAGGAACATATTTATATCTTCCAAATCTGGTAATTCCCATTGTTAGGGGTAGGAAATATGTACTTAGGCTTATCGAGGTTCCCCTTAGGCTGACCTTCCTCAGAATGCATCTTCAATAGTTCTTAACTTCCAGGTACCTATTTACTACTTAACTCCCAGGGGCCAGATTCACTAAGCAGTTACGCAAGCACTTACAAACCTGTACATCTTTTCTCAATCTTTGGTTGTTTTGTTTACAATTATTAAACATTTAATGAGCTCCGAAGCACCAGGAGGCTGTTTATAACAATAACAACAGTTGATTGGGAAGTTTTCATGCCTGTAAACTGTTTAATAAATGTAACCAAACCCGTCAAAGATTGAGGAAAGATGTACACATTTGTAAGTACTTGCATAACTGCTTCATGAATCTGGCCCCAGGTACCTATTTACTAAGTGAACAGCAGCATTGGATGAAAGAAAACATGCCCAGCCATTTCTGTTATGCCCATGGCCCTTGATTGCAAGTCGAGGATGTAGACCACTGTTAATTCTCAAGAAAATGCAATTTGTTACACAAGATACACAAAAATTACTATGAAACTGTACTGTAAAATACAAATGTATTAATAACGCACCACAATGAACTAATCTGGCATACTTTGAATAAATTTCTACAATGCTGTACAATAATACATCACTTCTTCCAATCTTGCAGGCAAATTCCTTCCCTCCGTCCCATCCCAAATCTTCATCCAAGTGCTATACAGTGGTACCTCGGAATGCGAGTGTCCCTGTATGCGAGTTTTTCGGAAGACGAGCAGGATTTACTCCAAAAATATGTCTCGGAAGGCGAGGGTTACCTCGGGATGCGAGTTTGTTGATACGTGTACAGGCCGACTGGCGCGTGGTGGCATGGCGATCGCGCCTCAGTTTACCAGTGTCTCGTGTCCAGTGACTATCCCACCTGAATTCTTCACAAGGATTTACAGTTTTTTATCGGTTTTTTGGCCATTTGAGCATAAAAGTTGTCATTATATATCTTGCCATGGGTCTCAAGAAAGCCATTGGTAAGGTTCAACCTAAGAAAATAGCTGTGAGTAGAGGCAGTAGAGGATGTCCCTTCTTGATTAAGAAAATGTGTGAAGTATGGGAAGAACTGCAAAGTTTTGTTGAAAAAACTCACCCAGATAAAGCTGTAGCAGGCCGTTGCATTGACCTTTTAAATGATAATGTGATGTCTTACTACAGACTTGTGTTAAAATGTAGGGAAAAACAAGTGTCATTAGACAAATTCTTAGTAAAACAAGCAAGTCCTAGTGGTATGCAGGCAAAATGTGCCAGAGTGTGCATACCAGTGAAGTCCTCACTGCCTGATGTGATAATGGAAGGGGACTCCCCTTCCAAACAGTAACTCCTCTCTTCCTCCCACCTCCTCACCATCTTCCATACGCCTACAGCATTCAACAGCAAGGTAAGTAATAACTTGAACATAGTTTTGTAGGTTTATTTAGATGAATTAGGTATAAAAATTTAGTTTGATGTGGGGTTTTTGGGGTAGTCAGGAACGGATTAATTCATTTCCCTTTATTTCTTATGGGGAAATTAGCTTCGGAATGCGAGTTTTCGGAATACGAGGCGTCTCCAGGAACCAATTAAACTCTTAAACTGAGGTATGCCTGTATAGTCGTAATGGCTCGGCACTTTTCCCTGATAATTCCCCCCCCCCCTTCCTTCATGCTCAGTGTACTCTACACTTTATTTATATAAATATTAAATAATAGTAATAACTTTGTGGACTAGAAATCTTGACTGGCCAAAACTGAGTTCATAGAGTTTTGCATAGAAATCTCAATTATTTTATCATGCAAAAGCAGTGGGTAGAATAACATCAGAAAGTAGTAATGTACTATATTGGGACCTGACTGCACAATATATAATGAAGGATTATTAAAACATTCTTAATATTAATATCATACTAAAATACAGTCTCAAGTCAATCTCATCTTGAGAATACAGTGTAGAAACCCTCACCTTAACATCACTTAGATCCAAGTTGGAATTTTGGAGAGAATCAAAGTCGAAAGAAATATCTTCTGTGACAGCAGGATCTTTTCGAACAGATGAGGTATGGCCGATCTGTGGCGCCTGCTGCAAGGAATCACAACATCACTCTAATCCAGTTTATCATAAATAATTCTTGTTTCCCCCTGCCCTTCAAGATACTGGTATTTTATAAATAAAAAATATATAGATAATATTTGCATGAAATACTTCATACAGAATATGCAAAACATAATTAAAAGTTTTAAACTTGAAAAAGAAAATTAATTTCTTAGTCTATGTTATCCTTTTGTTAGATATGTTATTCTTCTGCATCCTAATATATACAGTACAGCATTATGATGCCGAACCTACAGTCAACCACATCCCTCCACTTGACTCAGAATGGAAGACCAAGTGACAATCGAATGGTATACAACATTAAGCATAATGCAAGACTTCTCATAAGTCACGTCTAGCCTCTGTTCAGATATTCCGTTGATCTCATCAGCATCCTATAGCGACACATCAGGCACAGCCAGCGAAGGACTCACAGCTGTGGTTGAGAAAGTTATCTCAAAGTTTCTATAAAACTGGTCTACCACTTCTAGCATATTTATTTCAGTTAAGAATGAATATGAAATCATGTTAGGAGTCAAGTTATCTCACTAATAATTTCAGAAGCCAAGTTTAAGTGGGGCATACAATAATTACTGTATGCTCACTGAACTTGTCAAACTTGCCTAAAACCCACAAAAAGCACCTTCAATGGGCGAAAGAAACTGATAATTTGTCAATGGTTTAAAGCCACCCACGAGGTGTTTACTGCAACTGCCTAAACAGTACTGCAACTGCCTTCCTTCCTTCCGGAGGGATTCCTACCTGAGGGCTCTAGATTCGAGTAATTACAAAAAAGTACAGTACTCTCATATAGGTCTGCTGAAATTTATTCGTGGGCTTAACAACTAGTGAATAATTAGCGTGGTATGTTAATCTTGTTCAATATTTGATGAGGCCGTATTTGGGTGAACTATTTGATACTAATTTGGGGGGAAATTACACTGAAAAAATTTAATGTTTAATGTAGAACATTTTCAAGATTTTCTTCTCTTATTATCCTAAGACAATCTGAAGGCAAAAAACCTAAATAAAAATAAAAAAAAACATTGCCAAAACACTTACTCGACTATTTCGAGGTTGAGTGACCATGCCTCTGATTCGTCGTTTCCAAGCTGAGCGGCATTTTGAGTCCATATTCTGACAAATCTTGTGCCATAACTTAGACGAGATATTAAATTTGTATTGCAAATGACAGCGTATTCCAAAGATCATTAGTGGGTCTAACTGACGTTTATTCCATCTACCTGTACAATAGATAAAACAAGACAGGTGTATTTCTGATTTACAAAATATAATTTCCAAATGCCAAGAACCCTAATTAAAAGCAAAATAAATAATATTTATTTTACATATGTAGATTACATATCTACATACTTATGCTACATATATATGTGTGTATGTATGTATGTATGTATGTATGTTTTATTTCTAATAAAAACTAAAGCAAATTCTTCAATAAATTACAAATTTTATGTTTTGAAGTGATCTGAAAACTGATAAACGACAAAATATTGGCAAGTTAAACCTAAACTTGTAATTTTAGATGGCAGAATATGGTTGCAAAAGCACATATTCTTAGATACAATAAAGTAACAGAACAAACCAAATAATAAATACAACACAATTTTTAGCAGTTCCTGCTAAAAAATGAATAAAAATATAATTGAGTTTGGTGTTACAAAACCTCCCAAGGCGGAGGTATCGGCTTGTAACCGATACTACTGCACTGAGGTTTAAAGTGCAGTAGATAATTATCAGGAGAAAGCACCAAGTCATTATGGGCTATGTAGCACTTGGAAGGTATACGAGGATAAGGATTTGGGACAGGCTGGAGGAGTGAAATGCTGGCCAACTTTATCCTTATACACCTTCCAAGGGCAAATGTACTCAGATTATTAATATGTGGCATTAGTGCATGTGTATAGTGCATTTTAGAGGAATTACACATTAGTTATTTTTTATACCACTCAAATTCATCCACCTCCCCATTATCATTGACTTTTAAAATTGTATTAAAATCTACCAGAAGACTACATGACCCAATAACAAACGTGATCTTCCTAGCACCTTCATACAAAAATACTGAAATTGTACAGCCGATATTGTTGAAATTTACTCACTTCTTCCTGACAAATTAGAGGTGGCCAATTCTTCCTTTGTAAAGAGGTAATCCAACAAAGTAAGCGCCATTTTTTCAGCTGTGATACAGGTAGCGTTGATATGGAGGAGATTTCTGAGGAAAATATGGTACTGAAAAATAATTTACTGTAAGAAGTGATTAAAGTGGAATAAGGTTGCTAAATTCATGAGAGATAAAGAGAGAATGAGATGTATAATCAAAGATTAGGCTATTAAAACAAATATATATATTTTTACATACAGATTTGGCAATTTCAGTGTTGTTCAGCTAATATCTGGTAACTATTTACATTTCCAATTTCAAAATCCTACATTTATTGGCATTACACTGCATCTACTAATTTCATCCACTGCTACTGATAGCATTCATTACAATATCACTAGTGATAGCACTAAATGACTAAAACAGACAAGGGAACTCTGGAGAGCCAGTCGTTACAGATTCCAGAAACATAAATTACTTCTATGTACCCCCCACACAAGAAGCATTTGTATATACAGTATCATAATACTTCATAGTTACCCCAAAGTTTCTAATATTAAACACAAATCACCTACTTAGCTGAATAATGTTCTCTGCCTGCCCACAACTGACAAGAGTACCAATCAAGAAGAATGTTAGAAGTCACAAGTAAGGTGTTGGTGAGGGGGAATAATGGCTGTGGCAGTCCTTGTGATGTGAAGTAGTACTGGGATTGGTTTTGAGTTTTTAAAGGGTCTTTCTAGAGGTCACTTTGAGTGTTACTGAGTATGTATTCTCCAGTATCTTACTAGCACTAATACGATCCATGATGGATAATTTAAAAGATCTCTGCTGCATCAATGCTGAATGTTGATCTTAACTGACTCTGTGAGATTATATCCATAAATCCAGAAGGATCTTGTGCATAGGAAGCAACTGGGTGGAATAGTGCATTAAATATTTTTTCCTCTAAATAATGTACTCTTCAAGTGCTAGTGCTTTAGAGGCTCATTAGATTGAGATGAACCTTTATAAATACTTCAATAATTTACCTTAATCACATTTATTATATTATTAGCTAAATAAAAGTAGAACAAAATTTCTTGGCGCCTTAGACTGACAAGTCTGGAGTATATATGACTACAAAAAAAAAATAGTTTAAAAACACATGCGATAAAACAAGAATATACTGTAGTTTATTAGGTGCTGTTCTTATAGGGCCTCGAGTAACAGAAGAAACAAATCAGGGCTTACTTACTGAGGTGTTATCGGGCACCTGACACGCAGGGTGGGGTGTGCAGGATCACCCAGCCATGAGCCATGTGGAAAATCCTCCTCAGAATTCAGTGAAATTATATTCATGTGGTTGTTGGCATCTGTGTCCTGCACCAGTATCGGGGCATTGGACATCTCGATAGCCATCTCCATGGATCTGAAAAGTGAAATAGTATGAGTGTGCAATTTGCCATAATGGGGCTAAAAATGACAATGCAGTACAATAAAATTACAGGTAGGGGCTTGGAAGGCTTTTGATACTTTTGGGGGAAGACGTTCTGACGGTCATTCCTGGGCTGGCCTGCAAATTCTGCAGTTACTCCTTCGGCACATTATGACCCTATTGAGATGCTTGAGAGTTCCATGGCACCATACCATATACCACACCCTGTCTGACTGCATCAGTATGTAAATGAGATGTATGCCAAATTTTGCAAAATACATGATGAAGGCACACAAACATTCATATCAAAACAGAGATGCAAGACCAGAAAACAGGATTGGTTCAACAGAAATTATGAGAGGACCAGTGAGGAAAAGACAAGAAAATGGGTTTTTATTTTTTTGTCCGGTTCTATGAAAATGAACCAGATTTCATAGAACCGGACTCAATACGAATTCCAAAGCAAGAAGAATATATAGAGGTATCTCAAGATGAAGTGGAAAAATTACTCAAGGAGCTAGTAAGAAATAAAGCAGTTGGACCTGACAGAGTTTCACCTTGGGTGCTGGGAGAATGTACAGCTGAGCTGAGCATTCCACTCCAATTAATATTCCAGACATCCCTGTGCACAGGAATCTCAGCAGATTCTTTTTCAAATCTCAAGAAGTATATAAGGAAACCAGAAAAGATGCAGCAGCATGTACAAAATGGCTTCTAGAACTGAAAAACGAGTTACAAGGAGAGACTACAGACATTAAACATGACAATACTAGAAGATAGAAGAAAAAGAGGTGATATGATCACCACATACAAAATTCTAACAGGAATCGACCAAATTGACAAGGAAGAATTCCTTAACCCAGCAACATCGTGAACAAGAGGACACAGATTCAAGGTAAGGAAACAAAAGTGCCAAAAAAAAATATTATAAATTTTTTTTGCAAACACATATGACAAGAAATACGATGTAGATTTTTAAAATATGACGTAGATTTTTAAAAAGCACACATGACAAGAAATAGAGTAATTGTAGGTACTGCATTAGACAACTGACACCTAGTACTGTGGGGCTCAGATTTTGTGTAATTTGTTGGAAACATTAAATTCCATGTTAGTATGTAGCATTGCATTGCATTGCTGATTTACATCTGGACGAGTTTTCATGAAAATAACTCGTACAGCCAAGCTAAAAACTAAGATCTAAAAATAACAAAATAAGCTCACGCATTTTGATCTGGTTGCTTGCCAACGAGCCGTTCAATTACATCTAACTTTGAAGATAGTCGGTTGCATGTCTGAACCAGTACAGACACTTTGGTCTCTAGAGAAGTAAGGCGAGTGTTCATACATGTTTTGATTTCTGTGACCTGAAATACAAGAAATGTTATTACTATGTGGGAAGTTTTGAAAGATACTGGTAAAAATGCAGTGCCAGACTGAAATACATTTGGACAATTTTCTTACTGACCATTATGAAAAGAGGTCTTGTTTGGCAAAAAGTTTTAAAATGAAAGCTATTTCAGCCTGATGAAGTGGTTGAATAGATACATACACAACCTTCAAAACCTGCAAAACATCTCTGAGGAAAGAAGAGAATAAGTCAGCGAACCCACCAAGCAAACTTCTGCAGGGAAACCAAATTGCCAAGCTGGAAGGATGAGGGAAACCCAGAAAAAGGACCTAAAACCCATTCGACAAGCCTGGGGGGGGGGGGGGGGAGAAGACACCCTGCAATGTAAAATAATAGAGAATCTCCACCACATGAGAGCAAGTTCTGTGGTCCACTGCCCCCAGTGCCAAAGGCAACTGGAGCACCTAGGCAGGGTGCTACCAGACCCTACTACTTGAGGCAGGGCAGGGGCAAAAAGAGCATTGTTGTAGCCATGAAGAAGTGATTCCCATGAGAGATTAATTAAAAAATTGGGGCAGACTTTTCCAGCTGAGTGCTTGTGAATGATAGAACAGCAGCCACCAGCAACACTCAGTTACTCAGGGCGCCTGACAGCTGGGTGGACAGAGCTTCGGATTTGTAGTCCTGAGGTTACGGGTTCGATCCCAGGTGGAGGCGGAGACAAATGGACAAAATATTTCTTTCACCCTGAAGTCCCTGTTACCTAGCAGTAAAGTACCTGGGAGTTTGACAGTTGCTACGGGCTGCTTCCTGGGGCGTGTGTAACAAAAAGGAGGCCTGGTCGAGAACCGGGCCGTGGAGACGCTAAGCCCCAAAACCAAGATAACCTCAAGATTACTGTACAGTACTTAATAAGTTATCTAGTATATACTTAATGCTTTGCATATCGGTCTTTCCGTCCACCTTTCTTATTTTTTGTTATATTGTGATTTCTTTTTTAGTTTCTCTCCCTAAAGCTTCCGTATCTCTTACAACAATCTGCAATTTAAATTTTCCTCTTTTTGGTGCAGCTAGTTCTCATGTCCCTGTGTTCATTTTTTATTAACTTGGAAATCCTAAAACTTTTTTGGCAGTTTTTACTGCCTATCCTCAGTTCCTTTTTTTCCTCATAAATATTCATCCACTTTATTCTCCATACTGGTGCTGGGTTCATTGATTTAGCATCTAATACATTAAAAGTAAAATAGCCCTTTGCCTTCTGTTTTATTAAAGCAGTCTGTGGCATAGTGGTAAGACACTCGCCTGGCATTCCGCGAGCGCTTTGTTCTGGGTTCATATCCTGGCTGGAGAGGATTTACTGGGTGCAAATCCTTAAATGTAGCCTCTGTTCAACTCAATAGTAAAATGGGTACTTGGTTGTAAAAACGATTCTTCGCGGGGTCGTATTCCAGGGAACATAGGATTAAGGACTTGCGCAAAATGCTATGCATACTAGTGGCTGTACAAGAATATAAGAACTCTTTGTATATATAAATAAAAAAAAAAAAAAAAAATATTATTGCATACATTACATAATCAAGTTTAGTAAGAATGTACAAATTGCTTATTAAAATCTGTACAAACACAACCTATTGTACCTGTATACATATAAATAAATATTATTTTTTAATATATTTGAGAAGTTTTTCAAATTGTTGTGGCATATTATATGGCAAACCTCACATCTAATATCTTTAGTTCTTTGACTTAAACCATACCTACAGACACTATATTTGATATTACTTGCTGTAGTTGCTATAGTACAGTACTTTAATACACTTATTTAACATAAGGCCCAGTTATTGTGGCATTACTGTATGTCTGTAATTTTTATCATATATTTTATTATTACCATTAATATTTGTTTAAGTTATAAGTTATAGACAAGTTAATCTTACATTATACTCAGTGTAGAGCTTGAAAGTACTACTGTATATTGCAATATGAAAACTAGGCAATGTTTATATAAGACAATTTTGCCAACCTACCTCAGTCAGTAAATGATTCAAAAGGTCCATTTGTGTGACTCGGATGCGTTTCACCGGGGGAAGTGAGGTCGAGTCGTCGTAATCGTCCTCGCTCTCCTCCCCCATGATGCTCAGCTTTCTCTCCAGCCTGTGAATTATTGACATGTAGGCTATGTAGTCGACGAGGAGGCCTGGTCAACGACCGGGCCGCGGGGACACTAAGCCCCGAAAAGACCTCAAGATATGTATAGGACTAGAGATTCTATAATGTGGTAGTTTATGTGTAACTTCGTTAAGTGTCACCTTTATATTGTTTATCATTCCTAAATTTCTTGAACATCTAACATGTGAATGCTTTTTATATTATATTTTATATTATAATTGTTATATATTTGTGTGTGTGTGTGTTCTCTATAAACTGTAGCATTGCAATAAAACAAAACAAAATAAAACAAAACATACAAAAAAATAATAGGGGTGGTAGGAGAGGAAAAGAATAAAGTATTCAGTGAGAATCCACAAGATCTTCTCTGAATGCTCTTTGTTTTCTTCTTCGAGGATGTGGGTCCCTACACTTGCACCAGAGGTGGTACCCCTAATATTTTATATTATATTTATTTATATAGAAGAAGGTACATTGGGTTTATTAGAGTACAGAGAATTGAAGTCTTACTTTCTTGTAAAGCCACTAGCACGTATAGCGTTTCGGGCAGATCCTTAATCTAACATAATTTTAAGAAGGTAATTTCTAGTAAAATTAAAAAATGTTTACAGGTACATTGTAAGAAAGTATAAAAATACATTGGAAGAAGATATAAAAATGCATTGTAAGCAAGTATAACAAAAAATTGCATAAGAAATTTGACAGGAAAAAAGTATTGTAAGTACATTAAAGTAAATTTAAGGGTTATCCACAGGTACATTTTAACATAATTTGAGGATTATTGCAAGATATAATGTAGCAGACTATGTGTATAACATGATATAAGATAACAGCAATGATTACAATGGTAAAGTTGTATGGCATAGGTACATATTTTTGGGAATTTGGGGAATTTAGAAAACCAATCTGCATTAAAATGTCAGTCAATGATTTGATTGTATTCTGAGGCAGCTACTAGTAGCTATTTCACATTTGGTGTTGATATTAGCTGGTTGCTTGCTGGTATGGGAAGTGGATGGAATTGTCAGGAGAGTGCCAAGCCATTACGACTATATAACATTTGGAAGGAGTCATGATAAAGATTTGGGATGGGACGGAGGGGAAAGGAATGATGCCCAACCACTCGGAACGCCGATCTGCATGAGAAGCGAGACCGTTGCTCTATCATCCATCCCAAGTGGTTGGGACTTGGGAATCAGATTGGATGTGCTTATCAAGTTAAATACTTTCCAGTTGGGTACAAGTGAAAGGATGAATAACCCAGTGGATTTTCTTTCATCTGTTGATGGGGAGGGGAGGGGGGTGTTGTACATTCTGCTGTGGTGGTATGTTCCTTTCACACGATAAATGATGCTGCCCAAAAAACTCGCTTTTTGGGGGCAAATAAACCGAAAGTCAAGGAATTTGTTATTTAGCTTGAAAATAAGTAAGTAATTATCAAAAAAAGGCACCAAGTCAGGAAGGCTATGCAGCTCTTGTTGAAACTAAATAGAACATAGTTTCAGGTCCAATATTTTTTTTTTTTTTTTTTTTTTTTTTTTTTTTTTTTTTGAGATATATACAAGAGTTGTTACATTCTTGTACAGCCACTAGTACGCGTAGCGTTTCGGGCAAGTCCTTAATCCTATGGTCCCTGGAATACGATCCCCTGCCGCGAAGAATCGTTTTTTCATCCAAGTACACATTTTACTGTTGCGTTAAACAGAGGCTACAGTTAAGGAATTGCGCCCAGTAAATCCTCCGCCAGGATACGAACCCATGACATAGCGCTCGCGGAACGCCAGGCGAGGCTATCTATCATATATATATACCAGGCATATATTAGGCTATCATAATAACCTAATATATTCTAACCTAACTTGTACCTAAGGAGAATCTAAACTATTTTATCACATCCACAAAATTTAGAACATGGCTAAATGGTAGGCCCATGGGCCAAAAAGTGACATCTCCGGCCTCGGCTAACTCGACCTATAGAAGACACGAGACCAATATAAAATATGGGGCAGATTTTCCATGAAATTTCAGATTTATTATATAAGCAACTGTCACTGAAGCTTAACTTTGACTTTTATAGTTACCTAACCCCCCAAAAAAATATTTGCAGCATAAATAGGCCTCATATATATATGAAAAAAAGAGGTATATATATAAATGATTGACTGCAAATATGGCAATTTTATTACAAAATTAATGTAACCCATCTCATTATCTTTATTTAAGTAAGATAACAGGAACAACTGATGAGTGAATCATGACTATGAATGAATAAAACAACTAAATAAAATAAATAAATAACTCATCCCACTACATAATAATCTTGAGGCGTCTCAAGTCATCGATTTTCCCGCAGCCACAGCAAGCTTGCCCCAATTGACCTCACCCGACAACATCCCACCTGAGATAGTGCGGTGCGAGCTAGCAGCAGGGGTCAGTGCCCCCCGGGAAGCTGGCTCGGGGGGTCAAAAATCCCACCAAAGAGTCCCGGTCCCTCGAAATCTCGCCGGATCCCGTGAAGAGCGAGCCGGTCACCCCCCGCAACCAAGATGGCGGCGGCGGCGGGCGGCCCAGACGGGCCGTCTGTGTTAATTTCGTCATGGCGGCTCCTGCGCCGCTCCTCGGGAGGCTTGGCCTTTGCAGATGGTGGGATAAAGTGTTATTGCGTCTTGTTGTGTTACTTAGAAGGGTTGGGAGGAATGATTTATTTTGGGGGGGGGAGGATATAAGGCGATCTTCTTTGATGCCTCGTTCATAGAAAATTTATTTTTGTGGGGTAGCTTAAGTATATATTTAGGTATTTCGCTTGTTGAAGTCATTTTCGTGAAAATATTATATAATAATTATGCGTGGATATTACAAGATATAACCAGATTCGTATACTCAAGTTTTATATGAAAAGAAAGACACCAATCGAGCCCCACGTAAAAAATACCAGATTAAGTTATTTGATAACATTTTTGGGTTGTATATATTCGAACCCCAGTTGGAAACAGACCCAACTATAGGATGGGTTAACCCAAGTATCGCGCTTCCAAAAGGGTCGCCCAAGTTGGAAAAGACGAACGCTGAAAGAATATTGTTGAAAACATCTTGATAACTGATTAAACCAAAATTATTTATTAGTCAGAAGAAAGACAGAAACGTGATCTATATGTAAAACCTCTACCAGACAAATATTTTAAGTAAAACCGAAAATATTTGTAGTTGTATAAAAGTGGCAGTTTTCATCGCTCGTCAAACTCGAAAACCGCAGCATTCATCTCAGAACCATGCCTATTTCACGCAGATTCCTTAATAAACGTAAGAGTTTTATATGTCACAAGAAAGACAGATATATAAGCTTCGTTCTAAATACCTTACCATGGGCATATTTAAATTTAAAGCGAAGATACGTGTACTTTTATAATAGCCGAGCTCCGACTCCGGACAGATCGATCGACGGAGCAACTCTCTCTCAGAACAATGCTTATTTCACGTAAATTTGTAAATAAGCGTAAATTTTTTATATGCCTCAAGAAAGATAGGAATATAAGGCTCATTTTAAACACTTTATCATAGACATAATTAAAGTTCTAATGAAGATTCATGTATTTTAATAATCGCCGAGCTCCGACCCCCGCAAAGACTGAGCGACAGAGCAACTCTCTCAGAAGAATGTTTATTTTACGTAAATTCGTTAATAAACACAAATGTTTTACACGTCTTAAGAAAGATAGAAATATAAGCTTTATTTTAAATACATTACATTAGACATATTTAAAGCTCAAGTGAAGATATATATGTTTTTATAGTGGCGTTCAGTAGCTTTTCGGTCATGGAGTGCAGACGCCTACGCACTTGCCAATATGTTGTGTAATTAACAAAGATACGCTAATAAAGCCTAAAATATTACATGCCTCCAGAAAGACAGAGCTATAATCGTTATTGTGAGTGCATCAAAGGAAATATATCATGTTGGAGACCAATGATATAGCAATTTTAATTTAAGTTTCGAGTCCCGCCCGGTCGAGAGAGATGGGGCGACTCTCGCCCCATCTATTGGAGATTCTGTCCACTAAAGACCCAAAGCTACTCAAACCTTCCTAGCATTACGTAAGCAATGAAGTAATATGGTATATTTACTCACTATAATGTGGATGCTGAATGCAGAAAATGAGAAAACATAATTTTACTCTGAAAAAATATCATTTCATAACAAAATAAGATGTAATTATGTAATATCAAAGGAAGTTGATGGTCCAAGCAACAATATCGTGGAGCGACTTATCCAAGATATATTGCTCTCTGGAAAGTGTTTGCTGGCATATCAACCTTCTGTACACAGTGATCCAGTCGTTGAACTTCTCTGCTCAAATTATCGCAAATTTAATTTATGATGTTAACAAGTAGAATGCGTATTTTTAATCAAATCTAACATAACTAGCCAGAAAACGTTAAAGATTATTTAAAAATACATGGTTGGAAGTTAAATCAACTCCATAGAACAATATTTTTGTTATAGATACTAATCGTTATTTGTTGGTATGCGTTCGCTACTTAAACTATCATGTACTGTATTTATGTAAAATCTCCCTGTTTCTTCGGACATGGAACACGGAACCTTACATGCTCTCTGATTTACTGTTTAATAGAGATTCACAAATAAGCTTATGATTGTATACGTTATCAAAAAGGCAGTGACAAAGTCAATTTTGCATTTTAATCACAGAGATTAGATCTTAGTGAGATAGGAAAGATATTCATATTTTAAAGAAGGATTTTTGAACCATCGCTCTCCCTATCGATAGAAACTAATTTTTTTTTGTTATTATTAACAAGCTTAGGTATACACAGTAATGTGCTGCTACCCTATTCTATATGAAAGATTACACAGTGTATATCAAAAACTAGCTATAAGTTCATTAAATATTCCCATCTTACAGGATGGTTAGTTATATATGGAATCAGGGGATAAAATACCAGCCTCAATAAAAAAAAATCAACTGTGACTAACAAGAACACCACTTACGGGCTATTCATGCCCGTGCTACCTTTTGGGTGGCTTAATCCTCATCAATCAATCACAAGAAACAAGGGATACATCTCCCGTCACGCAGGGTCCAGTCGCACCTCCACAGATCTCCAGTATCATCTATTGATACTGTTAATGGTTCAAGAGGACTACCACTTACGGGCCTACCTCAAGGTAACAACCAGGTGAGAACATAAAATATAAGGCTGATCTATTAGCCTCCGTTAGCAAAATCCGGGTACAGCATAAGAATATCTTCCAATATTCCTAAGTGTATGAAGTAATTACAGAGTTCAAAGTACCTTATACCATTTGGTCTGAAGCCACTTATAACAGGGCAATCACAGATATAGTGTTGGTGAGTATGTTCCAGCTCTTGTTCACATAGTTTACAATTGGAATATTCACCATTGGGGGCTATTCATTACCTGCAGCCACCTGCGATACATATCGATATCCTAGCCTAATTCTGGCAATTACAATGTCACACTGTCATTGTGACACTAGTGGAAGTTTTATACTGTCCGTTCATATAATTCTCGATTCTAAACATGTTTACTTAGTTTAGTTCATTAATTATGCACCCCATATATCATCTTGTGGGCGGTAGTGGAAAAGGTTACAGAGGCACATAAACATGTCATAGCTCTTTATACTCTTGCTTTCTGGCTTTTGTGTGTCAATGACTGCTCTTCTGTCTTCCCTAATTTCCTAAAATATTGCGGCTTTGACAGAAGAGATTGGAATGCCCATATCCCACTCAACTTCAGGCTTATCACATTCAGTTTTAGCTGCCTTGTTTGTGTCATCATGCTGGACAACACCTATATGAGAAGGTATCCATACAAATGAGACTTTGAAACTCCTACTGTTTGCAATAATAATGTTGTTTATAATGGAAGTTACAACTACAACCTGTTTACAGGTTGTTTACATGACAGCGGAAGATTATCATAGAAGAAAGGAGGGGGGGGGGGGTAGAAATAGCCTAAGCTACTCTATCCCTTCGATATGTATTTTCTTGTCTTTCTTTCTGAAGTTGAATTTGATTTGATGATTTACTACCAAATACAATGTAGTAGTAAGTCTTTTTCATTGTTAGTGTGAGTTTGTTGGTTGACATCCATGAGTGGACTTTTTTTTAATTCATTATTGACAATATTATTTAGTGTGTGGGTGCTAGTGTGTGTATGTATGTAATAACTGAATAAATGCTAGGATTCGTATAGTAATGACTTATCATTTGTGAAATGCTTCAGGGTGCAAGTTCTACTCTGCTTAGGCTAGGAAGATATAATTATTTTTTTTTTTTTTAGATACATACAAGAGTTGTTACATTCTTGTACAGCCACTAGTACGCGTAGCGTTTCGGGCAGGTCCCTGGAATACGATCCCCTGCCGCGAAGAATCGTTTTTTCATCCAAGTACACATTTTACTGTTGCGTTAAACAGAGGCTACAGTTAAGGAATTGCGCCCAGTAAATCCTCCCCGGCCAGGATACGAACCCATGACATAGCGCTCGCGGAACGCTAGGCGAGTGTCTTACCACTACACCACGGAGACTACATTTGACCAACATTTTTGTCACCACGGGATGGGCGGCTCTGGCGAGAAATTTGTGGGTGCAAAATGCCTCACTAGCAGTAGGGTTGACGGGGCAAGCTGGCGGTCCTCGGGAAAAATATGACGGGGAAGAAAATGGCTTAACAGCAGGACCAGCTGGTGGTCCTGACGAGTTATCAGGCAAAATGGTGGTCTTAGCGGGAGAGCTGACAGGAGGACGGGCTGGCCCTGGTGGAGAGTTTGTGGAGCAAGCTGGCCAGCATGGCAAAAGTGTTGACAGGCTAAGCTGTGGTCCTGGCAGGAGAGTTGACGGGGCGAGCTGGTGGGTCTGGCAGGAGAGTTAACGGGTCATTAAGCTGGCGACCCTGACAGTATAGTCAACGGGGTAAGCTAGCGGCCCTGGCAAGTGTTAACAGGGCAAGCTGGCGGCCCTGGCGGGAGAAAAGGGGCAAGCCAGTACCCTTGACAAAAGAATTGACGGGACAACCTGGCGGCCTTAGCAGGAGTTGACGGGGGCAAGCTTGAGGCAGTGACAGGAGAGCCGACGGGACGGGACGGGAATTATCAGGGAAAAGCGCCAAGCCATTATGACTATATAGCACTTGGAAGGTGTCAGGATGTTCTCCTTGACAGGAGAACTGACGGGGCAAGCTGGCGGCCCTGGCAGGAGAATTAACGGGGAAAAATGGCGGCTCTGGCGGGGGAGATTACAGCAAACTGGCGGGAGAAATAGGGCAAGCTGGTGGCATTGACAGAATTAGTGGGCCAAGCTGGTGGTATTGACAGAATTAACGGGCCAAGCTGGTGGAATTTTGACAGTTAACGGGCCAAGCTGGTGGAATTTTGACAGAGTTAACGGACCAAGTTTGAGGTATTGACAGAATTAACGGGCCAAGCTGGTGGTATTGACAGAATTAACGGGCTAAGCTGGTGGTATTGACAGAATTAACGGGCCAAGCTGGTGGTATTGACAGAATTAACGGGCCAAGCTGGCGGCCCTGG